CTTTAAACGTTAATAACTTTTTAACGAAGACTCCATCAAAATTGGTATTCTTGATTTTTGTCTTATTTTGGCCTCTAGAATTCCCCATTAAAATTTTTCCCAGGGCTGGCCGAGCACCCTATATACAGGGTGAGGTACGATTTTTCAGCCCTTTTCGATGGTCTGACAACAAAATATTTCCTATCGAAGTTAATCAGTATTTAATTGATAAGAAATTGCAGCTGCTTAAATTTAAAAACAAATTGATTTTCAATAAAGAATTAAGATCACTGTTATATATTTAAATGGAATGAAGTATTTTTAACTTCATAGTATCGTAGGAGACGTCTAGACGAATTCAGTGACCTGCTAGACTATGGCCTTCAGATTGAAAGAAAAATTGCCATAAATCGATTGCCACAATACATAATACCAAGGCCTCGCATTTAGACGTAAACAAATGAACCTAAACCTTATGAATGCTTATTTATTCAACTTCAGAACTTAGCACACAAAATAAAGTAAAAATTTATACAAAACCAAACTGAAAACACGCATGTTGAAAGGTTGCATGTAATTAGTAATTAAATGTTCGAACTGCATTCCACCTTCTACGATACAATGTTCTATTCTTCGTAATAAAGTCTTATGTACAGGTTCAATTAGAGAATTTCTTTGTACATTCCCACACATTTTGTATAATGTTTTCCTTTTCTATTGTGTGTTAAGTTCTGAAGTTGAATAAATGAGCATTATTTACATCTAAATGCGAGGCCTTGGTGTCACGTATCGCCAAATAATTTTAAATATTGTGGCAATCGGTCTATGACAATTATTCCGAAGGTCATAGTGTAGCAGGTCTTCGAATTCGTCACAATACTACGAAACCAAAAATACCTAGTTTCATTTAAAAATAGCGACCTCAATTTCTTTATCGAAAATCAATTTATTTTTAAATTAATGCAACTGCAGTTTCCTATCGGTTAAATACTGATTAACCTCGATACATTTGTTTCGTGAGGACAAATTCGCGCCTCACCTCGAATATATTAACACTAGAACTACCAAAGCAGTAAAAATGACTCATTTATAATCTCGAATAAAAATTCTGAAATTAATACACGGCAGAATTTTTGTCTTTAAGCTTTTCTTCGCGTATCTATCGTTTTAATTTCTTTCGTAGAACTAAATACACTATAATTGTCGAGTAGTTCTGGTGTTCATTCAATGCCTCGAGGGATTAAGCGTCCGTCTCTCGGTATGTCCCCGCATAATGGCACCGTTCGTTTATTTTATCGTCGCGGCTTTTTATTTCCGCGGTACGTAGGTACGTGCGCGAGTAATGCAGCCGTTCCATGATTACCACGTTTGTTAAGGTGACACCGCATGACGCACACACTCGCACGTACGTGGATTTTTAGCATCGCGTCACGCATCTACGTACACGGAACGATTGCACTCAGTTACGAGAAAGCGCACACAACTGTCGGGCAACCGCGGCTGTAAACATTGGTGCATGTGCCTTGCCACGTGCCTAGCAATGTCGCCATTGGCGTCGGCCTACGTGGCATGAGATATCCCCACGTATTGTTGCATAATTCGGATGGCCAGTCGCGTTGTAATAATAAATCCACGTCCAATCTGTAAATTACAACGATAAATCGGTCCACTTATGATTTTTCCAATGTTCGTTGTCGAAACAGAAAAACAGTCGTTCTACGCATTTTTCCGTGTCTAAATCAGATATAAACCAATCTTCGTGCAGCGTGACGATAAACTAAAGCCATAAATTACAACGGAGTCTATTTCTGATGTTGCCAAGAAAATAAAATAAAATTTTTGCACTTGTACACATCAAAATCAAAGATGAATGAAATTCCAACAGTAGATATGGAATAAAAATATAATCGTATGCCCAAGTTTTTATTCCATTAAAATTCCAATTATTATTTAATACATGAAGGATTAAAATCTAGTTAGGAATTTTATTTGCCTACGATCTAAATCAATGTTCTCCAAAATGGAGGTTGCAATTTTTAAGAAGGACGTTTTACAATTCCAAATTGCTCCCTAAAGAAAATTTTTAACACAGATCAATTTGAATACAATAATTATAATAATAATAATAAATTATAATACTTAATAATTGTAGAAAGATATTTTCGACTTATCACTTGTCTCATAAATGCTAGAATCGGAAGATACGAATGTTTTTGTAATATTTTTTACGTGACTTTGCCTTGCGATGCATTTGAAAAACGTTCCTTTCGTTTTTCGAGTAATTTCAATGGTAAAGCTCAATAGAAAAGTACTGAGAATAAAAAAAGTGCTGTGATCCCAATCGACGATCACCGCTGTCGCATGATTTTGGCACAGTCTGTAAGATTCTGCAAGAAAACGTGACGAAGTACTGGTTATGGAAATTTTGTTATAGTTCGAGTCGATGATGGTCGAAATTATTCGTATGACACAATTAGAGGTTTCTAATATTAACTTAAACGCGTTGATATATTTAGAATTATTTCAGCTAACCTCTATAAGAGCCCGTTTTGGCTACGGTGTAGATAAGAAGAGTTGGGTAATACGTACCAGAGGATATGATTGAATTAGCTACACACAACTTCCTATTGGTTTTGAAACAATAGGCAGAGAACCGTGTTCATAATAGGTACTGCGTACACTCATAGACAGTTATGTCAAACACGTTGCATTTAAATGTTTTCAACCAAGGTTGTTACGTCTCCTCCAAGAAGGGAGTTATGATTTTTAGCCTCAAATTAGAAAGACATATATACGTGTCAAAGTAAGCGAAATTGTCATAATTAATTAAAATGGTGTTATATAAAAATTCTTGTGTGCATAATAATATTACAGTCTTAAAATTACATTTCTTAGGTTGATCAATTTTTTTTTAACACTAATCCTACAGGATTGTGATTTTAAGTCAAGTACTAAGTTTGAGAAATTGTTTTATGTACTTTATAACTTAATAATAAATGTATTTTATAATTTAATAATACATCAAATATCATTAGTATACAGATTTACTCACAGACCGTGAAGTTACTTAAACTTGGTACGTGATTCAAAGTCATATTCCAGTGGAATTTAGATTAATCTGTACAAAGAATATGGATCGTTGGAGTTGCAAGATCTATAATATAAATTGCCCCTACCTACGAACGGTTTATCGTTTACTAACTTCTATTCGATTTCGAATATTCTTTTCTGGAAGTTTTAACATTTTTGGAAATGTAACATTAAGATTGTAACCATATTATATACACAAGATTTTTTATAATTTTATCCACCACACGAACACCACAGATAACAATGACTAAGCTTTCACAGAATTCATATTCGCTTCACTATATATTTATTTCTAATTTAGATTTACAAATTATAATTTCCTTCGTGAAAAGAACCGATAAATTTAGTCTAAAACGTTTAAATATAACATGTTCTACATAACTATGCTGTCTTATTTATATAACACAAGCTCCACGTATTCTAAAAATAGATAAAGGGTTTCATTTCCCTATTTGGATACAAATGAAAATGATTGAATCCTCTTAGACGCTCAAAAACACGCTGTTCGATACAGATTTTCGGATAAATTTAGCTCGGATAATTATGTTTACCGCGAATGAATTGCTAACAATAATAAAATTCTATCAATTTGTATCAATCGAAATGAATCGTTAATTCAAAACACGCGTAGTAAGAAAATTATTTTCTATTTTAGTCTAAAAATTAGATACATTATGAACTTCTATGAATAAGCTTTTATATAATACGTGTGATGTAAGTTTGCCATTTAGGGACCTTTATCTTGAAGCCGGAAATGCTCGCGTTAAGCGATCGATCTTATGTACTAGGAAGCTTAGAATGATCGTTAGAGAAATGCACTTTCAAATGCACTTTCACCTTACGTAACGAATGCAGTCACAATTCTACATTCTGAAACGTTTGTTATGTACGGCGTGTTTATCGTCGATGCTTTTCCTGGAGAAAGTTATCTCACGAAGTCTGGGTGCAATTTACTCCTACGCCGACCGGCAGTACCGCTTCCTTGTATTAAGTTGGTTCGTTTGTTTCTTAGCTTTTTCTCGAAAATTATTACATATATATTGCATCTTCTTTACTTATTATTTTTTTTCTTTCTTTACGCTATAGATATAATCCCTTCGTCTTTCATTCAACTCTTTCAACGACGTAAAAGTGTTATAATATTCAACTTTTCCATGCTGCTTTCTTTTAAGACAGCATATAAGTAACGTAGAACACCAAAGAGAATTTCGAAATCTTTAGAATGATATATTACACATATAAGTAAAATGAATCGAAAAACGGAAAAGTGTATTAATTACTCTAATGAAGCTCTGATTATTTAATAGTAGTGGCCTTTATGCAACGAGCCAACTTAAAACTCATGTTTGTATGAGTGTCCAGCAAGTTCCTCGTTCGTTGACTCAGCTAAAATCATGTTTAATTTTAGAACGTTTATGGTTGATATCGGTCTTGACAACAGTATTCTATATAACAAATATCAACGTTTCCCGTGTCGTATTATTGCTATTCTACTCGAGGTTTATAATAATAAATAGTAAGAATAAATCTGGCCATTCAAAGTGCAAATTGAAACTTTGCTGAAAGCATTAAACTCGCTCCACTATAAGTCCATCGATAATCGAAGTTTTATTAAAAATTGCCACAAACGAACAACAAAATAGAATTTAACACGTCGACTGCTATATCAGTTCTTAAATTATAGAGTAACAAATGGAAATATTCAATAGTTTAATGGAGTACTTGCTATTTCGTAGTATTTCTAATTTCACCACAACAGTCAATGCGTTAATCAATTTCGTGGATCGTGATTGCTTTATTTGTGAAATGAAAGCCCTCTCTCTTTTTTCCTCTTAAACATAACTAACCCAAGGTAATACTCTTCGACGAATTCTAAAGCTGTAAAGCATGATTTATTTTCATGTGTACATGTAATGTTTATACGAACGTAGCAATGAAGCCCTACCGCAGCCAATCAGCAAAAGAAAGGACAAAGAGCACAAGAAGAAGAAGTCGAAAACGATTTTGGCTGTTAACACCGAGGCGAATATTGCCTTGAAAAGCGTTGGCGCGCCGCCGGAAGTTGTGTCCTACAACGTCGTCGTTCCATCGAAGCCTATACTCGAAAAGAAACCAGGTTGGTTGCGATCTAGAAACAGGCGGGAAGAAGCGCACGTTCACTATATTGTTCAAATTTATTAATCGTCAAAGTAATTTAGTCTCGTGTACGTACGAGAACAAGCAAATTTTCACCGTCCGACCAATTATTTGTTCGTACTACTGATTCTGGCGAGTTCGACGAATCCAATCCTTTCGATCGCGATTTCAAGATTCATTCGAACCGCAAAATTGTTTATTTTCGTTACTATGTTACTTTCTTTGTTATTTATTATTCTCAGTAGATTAAAGATGAAATTAATAACGCAATGTTCTTTTAATGCGAAATGAGAAGACGATCAATGTTTTTGCGTAACAATTTAGTTTCGTGCGTTCGTTCCATCAGTTAGATTTCGTTCACTTCATAATCGAAGCCTTCGTATGACCCACCTGAACTTCATGGTTACCTTAGTCCACCAAAACTTCGATCGAATCCTAAGGATTGCTGTCTAAACTGTCATTTTTGTGATTTTTTTTAATGATAGGTAGGCTGTTTTGTATTGAGATTTTGCAGATATATTTATTCATCTTATAAGCATGTACAGTATTTTTTTTCATAATAAAATATTAAACATTGCGGGAGTTATAATTTCTTGTTTAATGACTCTTCTGAAAAAGGTGCTCCGCTAATCTGAAACAGAGGGGGTTGAAGTATCTTTATTAAGAAGAGCATAGTTATAGCAGAAACTAGGGAAAAGTCGAAATCTCAATAAATAAATAATGATTGCACTTCGAGATTCGAATATCTATTTCTTAACCTTTCATTTGTCTTTAACATATGTAAAAAAAAATAGTAAAACTCAATACTTTTAAAAATCTCTACTTTCAGCGATAAAGTCGTGTCTGCTGAATATTCTCTCCAAGTTTGAAGTAAATCGGTCTGTTAGATCTTGAAATATCATGGAAGCCAGTTTAAATGCGCTTTTTTAGCAACTATGTATTCGGCACTGCTTGCACGACGATGTACTTGCACGCTAGAAGTACAATTTGCAACTAATTGTCAGCAATGTTAACCAAGATTACAGACAATTATCCAGCGCGTAGTGTACATAATCGACGTTATGTAATATTTCAACGCGGTAATGTGCTTCGCTGACAAGAAATCCTCTGATTTTAATGCAGGTTCGCTTGTCTCAGGAGATTTCTAATCAGCGGAGCACTGTACTTGGCGCGCCTAAGATATACAGCTTGTCAAGTGCTGGTAGTGTAAAAACCCGCTAAATTGTGTAAAATGTTATAAAAAGTTTATAGCAATTTATAGCAATCTTAAAAAAGTATAGGAATTTCTTATTTCAAAAATTTAAATAAATCGATATAACGATAAAGAGTTCTTAAATTTATTACAAAATTATTTGAATCTGTTACAGAAGGTTGACTTTCAATTCAAATATAATTTTTTCTTTTTATAAATCGCAATCGATTCAATTTTGTTTAGGTTTTGGGTTAGGTATGAGAGTTTTAATAAAAATTTATAATCGACGCTAAAGTACTTGGAAATGACATATTTTAAAGAAAAATAAATATGTTACAAAAGTCAATGTAGGAAACTAATATTGGCAAGAAATTAAAATAAAAATAATAAATTAAAAGAGAGAATTCTTTTAAATAGTATTTTTCTTATTATTTCTACATTTAAAAATGTGGACTCCAGAATTAGACTGTGTCGGGTTCACCGCTCACGAAATCGGGCCACATGTACCATCTTACTGTTCTTTTTCATTTACATAACACAATCTAATATAGAAAATTAGGTAATTGATGTTGGATCCGACAAAAGTTAGCTCTGAGGTTCCGAAGTTAATAATACTAATTCTAAAATCATGTTCTTCGTATCTTTTTAAATTTCATTCACGATTCCTGCTTCTTTCCTATAGAATATTCACCGGTATAATATCGAAGCATCATCTAAAAATACCGATATTAATCTCCGTTGCGCAAAGACGTTTCGTTCGAGGACGACAGTTGCCACGCGACCCGACAAACCCGAAATATTTTAAACATCGACTCTCTTTCGCTTCGTTTTATATGTATAATTGTGCGATACTATTCCACGAATAAAAGGGTAGGATCGAGCACTCGGTTAGTTCAGATACAGCGCTCGAATCGAGCCGGGGGCTTTATATAACGTCGAGAAGCGCCTCCGATTTACGTAATTATTTACATAATTTTTATTAATCCATCTCGAACGAATCGATTCTCGCACAGGCTTTTTTCGTCGATCGTTACGAGTCGGGACCCGATTCGCCCTGTTACGAGCCCTTACGTCTGGTCCTCTAACAGGACACGTTCCAGAACGAGAATAGATTCCGTTGCGTAATAACGATGCTCGGCTGCTAGTTTGTTGCACGTTTGTTATCCATACGCACGTTAGGATACGAGTCAACGAGGTCACGATAAGATCAGAAGCACGTTTTGCAAAAATATCTCTTCTGTACAATGGTAACGCAATGAACAGTTAACGCAGCGGCAACATACCCTAGTAGCACAAAAATATTGGATATATATTTTTTTCGAATATTGGAAAAATATTTTTTGAGCCACACTTTTTCATATTAGATAAACATTAGATGTAATATTGTATACATGTTCAAGAAATATAAATTGAATGTTTAGAACATATAAGCTAAATAATCGGAGAATAGAAAATAGATATTTAAATAACATTCAATAAAATCTTTAAATTTAAGAAAAAGTTATACAAAAATTAATCTCTATATATATATCAACTACTTTCTGTACACTGCTTCAGGAAATATTGTACTTTGTCTTCGAAAAAACCTTGTTACATTCAGAAATTTTTATACTGCTGGGGCGGGATTTGAACTCGGGACCTACCGTTAACTGTGTGATGTGCTTCCTCGCTGAGCCATGCGAACCTACGTTGTTACATTTATTACTTTTTAGACTTATAGAGGCTCAAATATATAAAATAAAAATAAAATATATATATATATACATATCTCGTATCAAATCATATAATTATTAGAAGAGATAAACTTCTGTTAAAAAAATTGTTTAGTTAAAAATCAAACTACTTTTGTTTAATGACGCATATTATTATTAGTATGTTAACGACATACAGATATATATTTCCTCAAGTACTTCCATCGTAGGTAAGCATCGAAACACATACAATATATTTGTTAATTGTACTACAATTGCGAATATATTTTCTTTTCAAGATCCAAGTTCACCATTTTCTAATAATTTAAATTTATTTTATAATACTACAATAAATTTTATCCAATTAACAAAATAATATTTTGATTATTTGTTAATTCATTTATTTTATTAACACATAGAAAAAATTAATAATAATTAAAAGAATGTTTAATCTTACAGTTCAATCATATTACGTAAGACGTAAGAGCTACACGATTATTTTTCATACACAACTTTGTTGCATTAATGTTCTTATAATATAAATACATGTCGATTAAGCGACATACACGAATTAATGTAAATTAAAAGTAAACATTTTACTTCGCATCATATTCTGGAACAAATATTCATTCATGATAAACATAAAATATTTCCTAAATATTTAAAAATAAATATTCTACTTCAAATATTACATAAAGATTCATTTTATAATGAGAAAACATATATTTTCCATGATATGAAATAAATATTATCTGTATATTAGGGATAAATATTCTATTTCTAATATGGAATAAAGATTCATTTAATATTCAGAAAAACATATTTTTCTCGTAACATGAAATAGATATTTCCTGCATATTTAAAAAAAAATATTTGTTACTTAATATAAAATAAATATTGTATGTATATTTGAATATTAAAAAAAGATTGAATCAATTTTTAATATTATATGAATGTGTATACAATATTTTGTGCTACTAGCGTAGATTTATTGATGAATGAAGCCACGACAAAGATCGCCTTAGCATTATTCAACGACACACCCACGAATCTCGAGGCTCAATTTCTATTTTTACATCGTTCTTTTATCTAGTATTTTATTATCCTCGCAGCACTTGTCGTCCTGTTGGACTAAGGTAACATTCCCACCTTGTAGCCTCCGATAATTCATTACCACTCATGCAGCACTTTGTGTTTTACGCGTTCCTTGGACGCCTCTTATCTCTTCCTGCGTTCCTGCTCATTCAGTAATGCTTTTTCACTTCGTGTGGTGTAAAAAAGCTGAGTGTAAAGTTTTAAGCACCGAATAAAAATACTCTGACGTCTGAAATCACTTCAGCTGTACAAAATTCAAGATATACGAGCGAAGAATCAGATTATGAGACGATTTCGTTACAAATTAACATTGTTACACTGAATTTTTATTTAATTAAATTATTTATTACTTTACAGTTTAAATTAATTATTATTTACGCCTGAGAAAGAATACTAGATACTAAATATAAGAAAACCATATAATAATTCATTATGATTATAAATTATAGGAGAATTAGAAACGTAAAGAAATAATTTCTTTTGCAGACAACGATTAATGACATTATGCAAATAAACATTTTTTACATACAAAATTCAATTGCCATTTAGAACTGAAATTTTATTTTCGTTTGTTGTTTATTATTTCAATAAAAATTTGCTTCAATCCGTCTGTTTGGGGCATTCAATTTGTTCAGGATAGGATGTTTGCGGCAGATTGGAAAAATATGCAACAGGATCAGACTTTATAGCAGCAGTATTTCAATAAAAAAAATATAATGTTACTTATGCTCTAGTCCCAACTAAAAATTAACAGATACGAATGCACTGCATTTTTAATAATTTCGTAAAACTTTATTAGAGAAGATAAAGAAAAAACTGATTATTATTATAATTTTTTAGAGCATATATTAGATTAATATAAGATTATAATTCATAGAGCAGACTGTAGACAATAATATTTTCAGTTTTTAACTCTCCTTACCTTTACTTTTTTATTTCAATATTGAATGCAAATAAATAACAAAAATATTCGGATAGTAGAGTATACATATATTTATTTTTATATCAAACCTTAATTATTTTAACACTATGCACTAAATTATTTTATACAAAATTTCAGTATTTGCTCTTATTCAAATATAGTGCCCCAAACATAATTCTGTATTTAATTTTAACGATTAAATTTCGCAAGAAGAGTGAAAATAATATCTTTAATTTAGATGCATCCCAGTTTTTTTTTAGAAAATTTGTTTGAAGTTCGTTCTCGTCTTGCTACATAATAACATGTGTATAATAAAATTTTAATGGATATTTGTAGCCATTGGTATCAATCAACTAATCTGTTGCAAGTTAAAGAAACGTTTCGTCGATTTAATATAGTTCCATCCTTGAAAATAAGAATCTTTGCGAAACTTTTGCTTTCTTCCCTGAAAATGAGCGTGCATGGAACCATCCGCAAAGAACGCAATTTAACGAAAGAATTTCTATTGATTTTGTACAAGAAGAAATAGCCATTGTAGAATTGGTGGACGCAACGGATCCGAGCGAGCACAACGGCGATACCATCACAGATGTGAAAACAGGACTTACTACCCGTCCGAATTGTCTGGACGATTCCATCTCTCAAGCCAATGTTAGTATTCGTTACAAAGCAACCGGGGGGAGGAAGAAATTACTTTAACCCCTTTCCTTACGATTTGTTTTCAATCGAGCGTACTCGCTCATTGACAGACTATTCAATTGCTCGAAGCACTCGTCCAACAGGACGCGATTCTTTCTCTTTTAGTGCAATTATGTATGTCACTCGCTACTCTCTCGGCTGTGATCGATCGAGGAACTCCCCATTTCAGGGTGGTTCTGGATATGACCATGCTCGGAGAAACATCACGCTGCCTATTTACAATTATAGCCTTATTACGTGTCATGTTTATACGAGCCGTTAGTTACGAAAATGATGGAAGCCGATTTTCTCTTTTAAATTGGAGCTTTTGCAAGCAACGTTCAAAGAGCCCTAAAGAGAACTTTGGCATAAATCTACGCTTTGAGAATCAATAATTGTGTCGCTTTTTATATTTATATTTCTAGTTTCAAGATATTTAAACGCTCTCTTTCCATCGTGATTCAAATCTGATACTAAAATAAATGTTTTGCTAATGAGAAATTTATCTAAGATCATTTAAATTTCATGAATGCACAAAAGTGTGTATTCTGAGTAATCTATGCCACTTTCAAAATTAATAGTTATTTCATAACAATATTCATTTCATTAATTCACGACACTTGTCAAAAATTTGTTTATGATAATGGAATATAGTTTATATGATATAATACTGAATGAAAAATCTCAATTTAAAAAGAAAAATAAGAAAAAAAAAATAAAATTATTTATCAATGATCGTCAAATGTCAAATATACAACTAGTCAATTAGTGTTTATCAATATTCCTCAGTGAATAGAATTGCAAATCTCGTATATCGAAGGAAAGATAAATGAACTTACACCATTCTCGTAATAAACGATTCATAGATACATACATTTATTTTATTTGTAATATGACTTTCTGAACGAGGATACAAAATATGGTAGTACTCTTGTTTGCAGATTATAGCAATGTTGCGTATGAAGAAAGAAAGTTTATCGAATATAATTTATAAATATTACCAAATTATTATTACCAAACCATTTGTAGCACATTATTTTAAATTGAGACTTGAAACTAGAATCCAATGAAAAATTTATGGGAAAATTAGTTTGATAGATTTGTATTAATAATCATTAATTTCAAATCGCGAAAGAACTGAAAATTACATTCAACGAAACTTAGAATACCATCGAAGAAAGTACGATTAAAAATCTTGTAAAAAGTATGATAAACAGAATTTTGTAGTTATATTATAAATTATTGAGTAAATTATTGAGTACGTTTTAAAAAAAAAATTAATGGAACTAAATTACATTTCGTTCAGAATTGTTATAATTACGAAGTATCTCAAAACCAATAATTTTGTAAAACGAAACTCTATCATAATCCTCTACAGGAAGCTCAAAATCTACGAACTATGTAGTTTGCTATGCTTATGACATTCATCGAACGAAGATGATGCTTTGCGTGATAGTCTTGGTAAAAGTCAGCAAAATACACGTATAATAGAATAAAGTAGGGACGAGTTGTTTCTACGAGCTTCGTGACGATCTACAGTAAAGAGCATAACTGTACCAATAACCAATTTCTTATAATTCATTTTTTGTTGCTATCAGCGTTAAGGTTCACGAAAATAAACATAACAGGGAACATACAAAGGTGTCAAAAGCAATGTTTTAAAGTTGTCAAGATTTTTTCTTTTGCCTATAACAAGAAATATTCACTGATACAATTTTATACCATACTTCTAGCAATAAAATTGTGCAATTTTATAACTTACTGGTCCACTATGCAGGTCAAGAAGTTTACACTGTACGTTTTAAGAATGTCTATAAAGTCTTTGTGCTTTCATCCAACTTTGTAGACTTTATGCAGTGTGTTCAATGTTTTGGTCACATAACTTATTCCCACTCGGAAGCTGTATACATTTGATGCTTTTTATGGATTTTTCTAACATTCAATTTGGATTCTTCCAACATTCGATTAAATTCAATTTATTTTAAAGGAGTGTTTAAAGTATTACAAACTTTACTCCTTTGCAGTAACATTAGCAAGAAATATTGATTTCATTTTTTATCTTTTAGCACTTTTGTACTTTTCCGTTTCAAAATTTATTACGGACATAAGGCATTGTATAAATAAATATTTACATTCGAAACACTGAGTGTAACTTTAACCCTTAAGTGGATTGCTGGGGTCTCTGCGGCCCTTCTGAAGTTTAAACTAATAATTGTTTAATATATGTCAATGTAATTATTTGAAAATTTATGTAATCCCCAATTAGTTCATTATTTTTTAAATGCTCTAAAGTAAAGTTGATCTTCATTTACTAATTTCATTTACTAAGTAAAATAATTCAGTTGAGATTGAGAGTCCATTTAAGGGTTAACACTGCATCAGCCAATATTTCTTGTTACATACAAAGATGTAATGTTTCTATTACGTTTATTTTTTGCAAACCTTGACGCTATAAAGAAGCTGTTATCAACACAGTTATCTTCGCTGTACATTGACGAGATTTAAATTCGATCTGAATAATTTCACGGATTACTATTGCTTGCGAATCTATCGAAAACTAAACTTGATATTGATATTGTATCCTATAGGAGGGATTTTGCGCAGTGATTTCGATGCACGACGGCCTCGTGTTATACACGACCTCCTCGATATGCACAGCTCTAGGATACCCAAAGGACGCGTGGATTGGCCGTTCCTTCATCGACTACGTGCATCCTAAAGATAAGGCTACCTTGGCTGATCAGATCACCCGCGGAGTAGCATCGCCCCAAGAAGACAGGCCGAAAGGTATGATTTAAAGTCCTCCTTTCCAACAATAGACATAGCACGCGATGAGACTGTTAGCGTTCGCTTTGACACAACGTGAAAGACGCGAGAGATAATCGAAGCGCTTAAAACGAACGAAAGATGTGTTCATGGAAAAGGAGGCTCGCATAACTAGCGCAACCCGTGGGACACAGCACAGACGTGCCTGAACACGTAGGAATCGCTACCGACCACACAAGACTCGTATGAATCGATATAGACGGTCATGATCTTGTAGGACGCGACACAGATGATCCTGGACTTGTACGATACGATGTAAACAACACTGGCCACGTGCAACTTGATACCGTTAATTTCGGTTTCGTGGGTCCTAATACTGACGACACAAGACGCACACGATCTGATTCAGGTAACTCCAGCAATATGACACTCAGCACAAACGCCCACGAAACTCGATACCGACGATTTTCAAGGGTATCGTTAGAAATTACTCCTGACAACGACTTGGTACAGACGACTGTAAAATTAGCAAGAGTCTTTATTTACACAAGAACCCCGAAATCGAAAAACTCGCTATTGAACTCAAAGATCGATGATATGACGTCACGATGGTTTTAGGTAGCCATGCTGGTCTTTAATTTTAACAAAATTTGGTACAAAATTATACTATGTGACCAACCAGTTTTGAGAAACGTATTTATAAAATGTTCGATAAAATTTGTTCGTAGAGTGTTTCGTTTTTTGAGCTAATTGAATTGAACATTCGAATATCTGTCTGGTACGTCTGTTCATGCTTTGCTTGTTCTACTTGCACCGATATTCAAGTCGTACTTTAGTTCACGCGTTCCCAAATTATTCTACATTTACGATTTATCGCTCTATTTTCAACTCAGATTATTCTACTGTTAACAAATTTCTCAAAATTGGATAACCATCTACGGCTGTAATTATGGTTACATTCATTGTAGTTATAAGTCTATCACCCTGCCAAGTTTTATTAAAATCAATAAGCCTCGTGTCTGATTCTGACTTCTCTCGTTAGTTTGTTGAACCATGAAGACTTTAGGTAAGTTTAGGTCAAATTCCATGGGCCTGGTATTTTTCATTTGATCGTTTCCCCACGTGTTTGGGGTCGTTTGCATCGGCTCATACAAGTCCTGCGATATCTGTGTTGCGGGGGCATTGCTCTTGATGTTGTTGGTACTGACTTTCACGAGTTCGGGATCGTTTGTATTGGGTCTCAGAATTCGGTATCGGTGACATTGTATCACGTGAGACCCGGTATCGTGAGTACGGGTCTCACGTGTCCGATGTGGTCGATACCAGGTCTTACGAGACCAGGGTTATTTATATTAAATTGTATGAGTTCGGGCTCGTCTGTATTATATTCCATTGGTCCAGGATTGTCTGTATCGAGTCATGCGACGCAAGAGTTGTCGGTATCGAGTTGCTCCAATCCAGGGGGCGTAAGTATCGAGCTCGTAGTCGTTACTATAGTAAGTATACAGGTGGTTAACTTTAGCGATATCTAAGAAAAAATATTACTTTTCTGTCTGCAGTCCTCTTAAGATCTCACCTTGGTCGTCTATATGTTTTATTTATTTGTAAATCCGAGTTTTCGAAATTTCCAAATCCGATGACATAGAAACGTATTACAGAATCAGTTTCTTTTTGGTTTGAATGAATATACAGGGTGTTCGGCCACCCTTGGGAAAAATTTTAATGGAAGATTCTAGAGGCCAAAATGAGACGAAAATCAAGGATACTAATTTGTTGATTGAGTCTTCGTTAAAAAGTTATAAAAACATTTCTGGCTACACACTATATTTTCAGTAAAGAATTTTTTTCTCGAAAATACGTAAGATTTCGGAGGTGTGTGTATTCACCAAAAATGATTGTAATTAACCCTTGCAACTAAAAACAATTTTTTTAGACTCACTTGAAATACATGAAATTTCAGGGGAATCATTCATTCATGGTCAGACATTATATTTTCGGTAAGGAATTTTTTTCTCGAAAGTGCGTGGGATTTCGGGGGTATGTCTATTCACCAAAAATGATTGTAATTGACACTCGCAACTGAAAATAATTTTTTCGTGAATGTTTTGAAATTTTTTAATTTAATTTTTCAATAACTTTTTAACGAAACCTCAATTAACAAATTAGTATCCTTGATTTTCGTCTTATTTTGGCGTCTAGAATCTCCCATTAAAATTTTTGGAATGAGTAATCAAATCAAAAAGAAACTGACTCTGTAATACATAAAAAAAAGTATAAATAAAAGATTTTAAAAATATGTTGTTGATGTATTACGTAGTATTTCCCTAATAATTCTCCTATTATCGTAAGCATCTGTGCTTCGTATCTGTTCTCGATTAATTAAATTTTCCATGACAATTTTCCTCATTGAATGGAAATCTGTATGTAATTTACGTGTTAAGGTAATTTTCCCAAAATTTATTTTATGTTTACGATTTATTGTTGAACATAGACTAACGATCCGTGTCTGTTGTACCACGCGTTGCAGAATACCATAGTACCATATACGATGTTTGAGTGTTCGTGATCGACAGAAAATTATTTCGCTAGACTGTAGAAGTGGTCTATAATAACTATGCATTTAATATATTCAATATATTATTTCGTGTCACGTGTATGCATGATAACGCAATATTGTCATACGGTTAGTCGTAAAATTATCGAGGAACAATCTCTTTTTCAGGTATTAATGGCAGAAGAGCAAGTTTATTTTGCGGATTGCGGAAATATATTAGATCCGCCGTTCACCATCACTCGATCTGTCAGCACAAAGAAGCAAGGTCGAATTTGTACCTTCCGTTCCACTTGACCCTGTCGTTCAGAGATTTCCGAGATCGCGTGACCGATCAACAACATAAAGCAATCTTCCTGGTGGTCACAGCACAACCTGTTCATTCTGCATATAAAGGTAGTACGATCGAAGATCTTTGAGGAGATCTGACTGACAAAAAGACTCGATAAATTCTCTTTGAAATTGATCGGTAAATTTTCAAGCCCGCGATAAGCTGAATACAGATAAAATGTAAACGATCGGGGAACAAACAATTTTCACTAAGAAACTACGATCGAGTCATTTTGTTGGTCCTGTCTTCTCAGCGATACTAAATGACTCGGTGGTTTCCATGGCGACGTGCCTTAAACAGAAGGTAATTTTTAATAAATTAGAAACGTTCACACGAAAATCGCAACGATGTTGATAGTTCCTCATCTTTGTCGTTTTTTCATTTATTCGTTTTCTTATCATCTGGCCAGTGTATCGTTTTCGTTCAGTTTGGAGACCACTGTTTCGATTATTCATTTAAACGAGAAACAAAAAAAAGAAACAACATAACAATTCATTCGTCATTTTTCACGAATAGATAACAGCTTACTATGCTTTGCTTGTTAAACACGTAGCGATATTTTATCGTTAACATTGCTTATTTTGTGTTTTAATAAAAAGAGGAAGAGAAATAGCTGACTAATCCTACAAACAGTACTACTAACAATCCTGCCAAACATTTTTCTTTCTCTTTCTAGTCATGTGTCTTTATATTGATGAATAATATTAAATGCCAATCCCAATTTTTGTAACGTTGCATTGGAATTGTAAACTAAAATAAATTTAAGTCGCACAGTGATTGTTAATTCGCTTTAAAGCTTGTTTATGTTATCTTCCTGTCGACGACAGACCGAAATTCACTTATTGCTTTATTGTATCCTTGCCTCGATATTATCACTTACAGTAGCGGACCAGAATATAGAGACATTGTTGTACCACCATGTAAGAAGAAAAAAATATTGAATTAGCAAATATTATTCGAAAATCTGAAACAGTTGATAAGAGGTATGATATTTTATCTTCGCCGAGTTTTGCATTGAGAATGAAACACAGTGAAGCAACATTTTAACAGAATACTGTGCAAAATTAATGCTACAATTAATTAAAATACGTTATTCCGCAAAATATTAGCTTTTTAAAACATTTTTATTACTTGTGCTAATTTACAGTATGTTTCACAAGAGCATTGGCTTGATATCTAAGAAAGCAATAAGTATTTTTGAAAAATTAAAAAATACGTTTAAAGTATACATTTACTCTAGATTAAAGGAAGTATATGTGTACTTTAAACTTATTTTTGAATTTTTCAAAAATACTTGTTACTTTCTTAGATATTTAAGCCAACGCTCTTGTGAAACATACTGTAAATATAGTCTTACATTAAAGTCCTCAGCAAACAGAGCATTGAATATTTTGTTATCTTTATGCCACGTACTGTTTATGTTCTGAGAATTGTTAAATCGGTAACAGATAAAATTTTAGTGTATATATGACTGGAAAATCAACTATTAATTGTTGGCTATTTAATACCTATAATATGTGTTGTCGTTGCAAATTTTTGTCCACTACTGTACAGGGTGTCCTAAAATTATCACGATCACCACAGTATGAGTTTACACCTCTGAATCGGTGATCTACTAAAACTTCTGCCCGCAAAATTGTTCTTGACCGATTTTTTCAAGATTAAACTACGTTATGATTGCATCGTATTGTACTAATTATAAGGAAAAAGTTATATTAAAATTTGAATAATTTATAAATTTACATTTTCTGGATTTTAAAGAAACAACTGGATCATTAATGTCGAGTCTAATAGTTTTGTATTTACAAACGTCAAATCTAAAAATTGGTCTTCCATTATTTCTTACATGCTTTTATATCGTCGTCGAACCATGATAAACTGTTAGTTCAAATACCAGTAATAGACTAAGACGATAACAATTACACTATTTAGAATCTCAAGTCAAGCTGACTTTGCAATATAAACAAAACCAGCTCAGTGATGACTAATTCACATTTGTAAATACGAAGACCATTACAGATTTAATCTTAACGATTCAGTTTTTTCTTTAAAATGTGAGAAATGTATAAATTAATAAAACTGTAATATAATCTTTCAAGAGAACGATCGAGTTGCGTCATATGGTTATTTATAATTAGTGCAATGCTATGCAATCATCAAAAGAATTTTACTTTGAAATAGTTAGTTATTGACAATTTTTGGTAGATCTCCGTGGTGATCGTAACGTATAATTTTTTCATCATTTCTTTGTATGTATCTTTGATTTTACAGCTTGTACAAATCTTGAGAGAAACCTGTTCGAAAGGTTCTCGTAGAAAATGCCAAAATGCTCGAGATGTTTATGCAATGTCTTCGTCCTGCGTTTCGCAAAATTGTCTCGTATTATGCGAAAGTTGCGCAGGCTTTTCTGCGGATCAAGCTGTCGCTAGTAACAATCGAATGGCAGATGGTCGGACGACGGAGCTGGGTCACTTCTATCCACACTTATAATAAAATCCATATATTTATGCAGTATGAATTTACGATTTACCCTCGAATTAGAAGCATTTATTTATAAAAAATATTCCACACATATACAACTATTTGTTATATATTTCCACGATTTGTGCATAAAGTAGTCGATAGGTTGACTTTACAAGGTTTACAAATTGTTCGTTATCTTTTGAACAATGCACACATAACACCGAAAACGCTTTTCAGAAAAAGACATAGTAGTTTTTTGATTTTTTCTCGAAGTTCTTTGCTCGATTTTTCAATTAAGAATGACTGAGCTCATTGTAGTCTTACAATTTAGAGTCTAAAGAGACCACTAAAACACTTTCTTATCTGTTACTGTGTGACAAACGAAGTCAATGAAAACGTCAAGAGACCGATAAGAATCGATAAAGAGCGAGTCTGAGTTTTCAACTCAATTCTGATACTATAAACAATGTATAAATTGTTCGATGGCAGACAGTATGCGGGTCAGAATTGACCCACCTTCGCCGGCGGGCTGCTAATGCGTATCATTAAAAATAAAAAAAAATTTCATTGTGTAGGAAACTCCTAGCAAGAGAGAGAATGAACTCGACTTTGTTATTATCGTTATCCGCAGCGCCAGAAGAAACAATAATATCTTCGATATTCACGACCCGCCACACAGCGACGTGCCACTTATCCCATGTTGATCCCGACGTAGTCCAATACTTTGGCTATCTACCTCAGGATATGGTCGGTCGATCGCTGTTTGACTTCTACCATCCCGAGGATCTGCCCTTCATCAAAGACATCTATGAGACTGTGAGCATGCGCCCAGAAAAAGAAACACTTTAGGTTTCGATCGAGTATACGCTTGAGAAAAAAAAATATGATACGTGAGAATGGTAGAGCAAAAAAAAAAAAAAAAATGAATGAGAATGTAATCCGCAGAAAAAGTGCGAGCAAGCGAGTCCCGACAACCGAACGTCGAACGACGTGTGAATCCTTATTCCTCCGATTACTCATATTTATATTGTTAAACAGGTGATCAAGCTCGAAGGTGTCTCCTTCAAATCGAAACCCTACAGGTTCGGAGTGCAGAACGGTGGCTACGTCGTCCTCGAAACCGAGTGGTCGTCCTTTATCAATCCATGGACGAAAAAACTAGAGTTTGTCGTAGGTCAACACAGGGTACTGAAAGGTCCGGCGAATCCCGATATCTTCCGTGTACCACGTGCCACGGAGGTCGGCCAGCTGGACAACATCAGCGAAGAGGTGCTCAAAGAGGCCAAGATCATACAAGGAGAGATACGTACACTTCTCAGCGAGGTATGTTTTCCATCGATGATCCATCTTGAACCAGCGGTATAGTTTGCGAGATTTTGTCTAGATCGTGTTTCTAAGGTAAAACATAGTACGATGGCCCTATAATAGACACAGTTTGATCTATCGTCATAGTACTAGCACAGACGAGGTATACGAGTAGACCTTACACTTTATGGACTTTCGTGGCCACTACACTAATGCATAGCCACCTCGTATATGAGTTCTGGCGCTTCATATAGCTTCAGAGGTTCGAGGAAGAAGTAGTCGACTCCTACAATAGTGAATGTATTTTACTGAAATTTATTTCTGAAGTAGAGCTCATAGACACCTACAAAAAAAGTATTAGACAACTATTATGTAGGGTGTTAAAATTACTAAAAATCGAAAACGAATTTTAAAGAAAAATCGACAGGCGAAATTAAAAAATTTCAAATCGTCCTAAAAAAAATTATTTTTAGTTGTGGGGCTCAATTACAATCATTTTTCGTAAATACATATACCCCCAAATTGCTACGCACTTTCGAGAAAAAAATTCTATACCGAAAATACAATGTCTGACCATGAATGAATGGTTCCCCTGAAATTTCATGTATTTCAAATGGTTCTGAAAAAATTATTTTCGGTTGCGGGCTTCAATGATAATCATTTTTGGTGAATAGACATACCCCCGAAATCCTACGCACTTTCGAAAAACAAATTCAGAAAGATGGACTTTTTCGGCGAAATTGAAAAATTTCAAATCGTTCAAAAAAAATTATTTTCGGTTGTAGGGGTCAATTACAATCATTTTTGGTGAATAGGCATACCCCCGAAATCCTACGCAATTTCGAGAAAAAAATTCCTAATCGAAAATATAATGTCTGACTATGAATGAATGATTCCCCTGAAATTTCATGAGTATTTTTAAAAAATCATAACTTCGGAACGGATTGGAGGATTTTAAAGTTTCAAAATGCAAATAACGTGTATTTTGGTGAAGAATATTTAAAAAATCTAAGAATGGTCGAAAAGTTGTTCCTTAACCTCGTAAAGTAAGAAAAACCCCATAAACATGGTCCAATTTTCAAACGACCATAACTCCTACAATAGTGACTGTATTTCATTAGTCCTATCTCTTGACATTTTCTTGGTCTTCACTGGAGTAATGGGGCTCTAGAGCCCCAGAAAAATGTAAGTCCACTCGTATACCTTGTCAGTATTACTAGATTTCACGAGGCTGTCGTAAATGCACGTCTTAACTAAACTTTTGGTCAACATCACAAGTTTGGTTTATTTTTTATTCGTTTATTGTTAAGGTTAGAATTATTGCTTTCTTTATTTTGTAAAATTACGTAAACAATACACAAAATGTCTTAGAAAAAAGTTTTGCAACATTCAGATAAACGATGAAGTTGCCTTTTTAAGAGAAATGCTGTTCGCAAGTTGAACAAAAGTATAAGTTCATTTATTAAAAACCATTTATTTATAAATTATTCGTAATATAAATTGTTCTTAATAATCAGCATCTGATCGACGACGATAAATTCATTGAAAAATTTTCGTTTTCATTTCGCTTATAACATTTTCCATCAAGCCTTAATCAATTTCTTTTAATTAGTCGACTGGAGACTATTTTTTTGTTTTGATATGTTCACTTAACCCCTTGCCGTACAATGACGAGCCTCATTACAAGTTCTTAATGTCAAGTTTCACAATCATAAATCTATCTAGTCGTCACCAAGTCTTTTATATTAACAGCAACACATTTTTACATTCACCAGGTATATGCGAAACAAATCTATTTTATTTTTCATACCTTTCGCGAACGTTTGAAAAATAATTTGGAATTTTACTGTACGTCAAGGGGTTAACGAGAATCCCCTAATACATTTTTAATAGAGTTTCGCCCCATGTTGAGAGGGGGGAAATGTGAGAGACGTTACAGTAAACGATTCACACCGTAGCGTTGTATCTACGAAAACGCTAATCGCGACAAATGTGCCCGTTCACACCCAAACTTTTTCTCTTTTGTTCTATCGTACGTCTGCGCAGAACATCAAAAGAAAGTCAGATATTACCGAGCACGACGTGTCAAAGAGGTGCAAGGACCTCGCGTCCTTCATGGAAAATCTGCTGCAAGAGACGAGGGCATCCGGTCTTGGCAAAGATGTGCTCGCTGCGGACGACAAGAGTTTTTCGGTGACTATTAGCTACGTTTTAGTATCGCCGACACTTATCTATTTTGCTAGTAGTACGCTATGACGTGCTATGGTGGTATGCTGCAAAGTATACTTAACAGTCTCGTTGTACATAATGCCACGTTCCAATTTATGGCGACTCAACGTGGAAGGTATCGAAATTTACTGTTACGCACGAATTGTACGATATTGTTTTTGGTACGGATTTATTATTATTTAAGTTGAAACTCGATCGAACGAATCCTACGGGCGTCTGTCTTCTATGTGAACACGTCGACTGTCTTGCAATGTTTTTAAATTTTTTAGACGATATTCGTACCGTGGATCAGAAGACAGTAAACGTGTTAACTTTGCAACCTTTTCATTGTAATTACTTGTGATACTTTTTGTTAGAGACCGCAATTTTGTCTACTGGCGGGCACACGTACACACGTGTAGTTATTATATCCGTGTACTTCTTAATATACTCTTTCGTGTCGCTATTTACGTACAGTTAAATGTAGATATTCGAACATTTATGTTTCACGCAAATAATTTGCATTATTACGTTATTTGTAATTATTTAAATTATTTATAGATCAAACAGTACTCGGATATTTTAACTATATCTGTGTGCACTTGTATTTTGAAAACACGCTAGAATAGCAGTTCCCAAACTTTTTTAAGCGTGGAGCTCGCTTTAGCTAAAAATATTATAGCCCAAACATTTTACTTGGTTGAATTTTTCTTTTATCGTGTTAGAAGAGGATAATTCCTATGATAAGTAGATACGAGTTAAGGATTAAAATTAAAGTGACAAACGTCTCCATCATTTGCTCCATAAAGCACAGTTTGAGAACAGCTAAGTATCGCTTTGACGTAACGTTCGTAGATGTAGTATTCACAGCGATCGAGTTACAACCATGCAGAGTTTCTTATTTTTTTTTCTTTGCTGATCCGTTCAGAAAAGCATGACGTAAGTAAGAGGGCTGGGAAAATTCTGAGCCGACGTATCCGTTTGCGAAGCAGTCCTTAAACTTTTCGAAGATGTTCGATAAAGAGTTCGATTTCGTTAAGATCGTCGATCTGCTTCCGAACGATACGCCCTTGGAATTCGTTTAGATCTTTTGGAAAACTAAAGGTGCAAGGTGAGTAAGGTACACAGCAATTGATTAAACATTTTACAGCCTGGTGTCACGTCTAACCGGATGGTTGCGTTGAAAGTAACTCGAAAGCCACTTGTCGCTAGTGTAGGGTATTCACGCACACCTGCTACCGTAATTTGTAGCGTGGCTAGTCGTAAGTAAGAACGACAGATCACGATAAAAAGAAAAAGAACGATCTACCAAATTGTTTTGTACATAGACACGGACGGAGGACAATGTGAAAATTGTGTAGATCCGCTAATGGATAGCGTCAATTTCAAAACCTTGTAGGCACGTTGTTGGTAAGTCTATTTACATTTCCATTCAATATTACTACTCGCTAATGATGGTAAACCTCAATCTTTCTCCACTTCATTTTTTTCCTAAAGAAAAAATAAACAACAACAAACCTCGATTGCAACAGTTTGGATCATACAGTAGCTAATTGGTAACCCAGACCTTGAATTTTGAATTTATTAGTACAATTCACTGATTTCTACGTCCAGCGAATCTAGTGGACTGATAACGTAATCGAGACACGTTTGTTTCAATCTGTCTTATTGTATGGTCCTTGCTCTATCTGATCCACAACGTACTCTGTCCGAAGAACGGTTACTAACTCTCAAAGAGAATGTTTCTTTATGCTTTGTCACTTCTTTTCATCGTTTTCATGCGCATTTTGCTAAGAGATTGTTCACGTTCTACAATTTTTCTATCCTCGTCATTGGAACGCTTCGCACATTCCATTGTCCCGATTTTTTCGTGAACAATCGCTCTAAACGACTCTGTCGTGTCTCTTTCCTTTCGCAAGGCTAGGGATCTCTCTGCCAGGAACTCCGAATATCGTATCCTTCGCGATCGAACGATGCAACCGAGAATTCGATCGTCCCCGACTTCACGTTCGAGAAATGTTTCGCGATCGTTAACGCGAAAGGCTACAAGTGTATCTATAAATTATTGCAATGTGATGTTCGTGAGTAAAGTTCCGGTATGTCTCGTCACTTACAAGGTTTTGAAACTAACGAGGCAACGCGAGCGGGGCTGGAAGAGGAACACGTACAACCCTTTCGATCGTGACACGTTAAATTTAGCACACTGAATGTTGTATGGTTTTAAACAATGAGGACTTTTAACAGTTTCTGGTATTCCAATGTTTTATTACATTGTGTAATAAGTTCGTTCGCGTTTCATTGTAAGATTATTAAATACTGCCATTTTGTTCTTTGATCTTCTTTCGTCTTTTGAATAATTTAACCCTGTATAGCTCAAATCATGTTTAACTTCTAAAAATAATGTTACAGTATGACCATTGATAGATACTAACAACCAGATATAAATTGGAGGGTATGTTTCAGTAAACACAAATTTTCAACTGTACTCACTCTGGTGTGAGATATTGTGAAATAGTTGTTTTATATTAATTGTTTGTATCAGACTTAAACAATACAAGTAATGGTTGTGTAACTTTAAAGTCACGTTCAGTACTTGTTTCCAATTAAATTATATAAAATCCAATAAAATGTATATTTACTTTTACGGTGTTTTTGAACGATTGTTAATTGAGAGAATTTTTTAATGTAAGAAAGAAGTAAAAATCAGATGGGTTAAGGTCTGCTCAATGCAATAGTTGAGATAAAACATCCTAATTAAGCTTCAATAATTTTTGTCTCATCGTTAAATATACAGTACCGGATAAATAATTTTTTTTTAATATAATGTTATTAACCAAAGTTTCTATGTAGTGACCATTTAATCATTTACTCACAGTGTGCTAGGTTTAGCGCAATTTGTAACTGCTGAACGGGCCGATGTAAAAATTTATAAAAATTTGAAATAATTCAACGTGTCTTAAAAATCAAATTTTCATCCGTAATAGTGGAAAATCATGAACGAAAGGGTAAAGGGATTTGTCTATTTTGGACCCTCAAAAATTGGATCATATTTAAAATTCGTTTATAGAAATCTTGTTTTGCCAGACTCTATTTTTTTTTTTCAAGCGTAAGTAATTAATTTTTTGCACGAGAACTCCGATTCTGGTCATCATAAACAAAGATTTATTGCGCATAAATGTAATCATTGTCTAAACTAAAAAGAATACAAAATATGGAAAATTAAAACAATGATATACGTATTAACAAAAAAATTCGATTTTTTGTATGTTAAATTGTGACGACTCTTTAAAAATTGCAAAATGTTTTTTTATAATTGATTCATTGATTATCGAGGTATTAAAAAAAAATGTCGTTTAACAAAAAATGAATATACGGTTTACTGTACAGAGTTCGGTTCAAAGTATAACATTCCAAATTTGTTGATTTTTTTATGAGTTGAAACTTAAAAAGAAAAAAGAACTATTCTTTTATGGCCAAGATAGGCAAATCCCCTGAGCACATAAGAATGACGTTAATATTTCGAGAGTTCTGATACGGCGAGACAAGCACGAATCGAGCAGTATCTTCATAATTAACGTTTACGTATTATCGATAAAAAAACACTAGGAAACTGCTAAAGACGAGATTAAGAGAATCTTAGATGCACTGTTTTCTAAATTTATCGAACGCAGACTTACGATCGTCATTAACCCATTAGCTACCATCGATGCGAAAGTGAAACATTAATTATTGATTCACTTTATGATAGTTTGAACAACTTATTCTGCGAAAACAATCAAAAGTATTTATTTCAGAAGGGACTAAGTTTTTTAAATATATTTCTTTTAAATCTTATGTTTGCAAAATTTAACCGGAGGTTTTATATTATAAAAAATATTTCTAGATCATCGTTAGTTTACACCAAAATATTATTATTTATTTTCCCATTTTCAATTTTTGTTCGAAAAGAATTTCGAAGTAATAAGTCGAGGCGTCGATTCTAAATTCGCAAAAAAACGTCGAAAAATAATATTTGGTCGTTAATGGGTTAATCCGTTAATTTGTTACATATTCGGAATGGGTAGTGGGGGCAAATGTGAGTGAACCGTGAATTTGGTTGGGGAGGGAAGATTAAAAGAAGGTGGTAGCTAGTAGTAGTCGAAGCAACTAACGTTTTCACAGAGCTGGAGAAATATTAATCGGTTGATTGGTCGCTCGTGCCCTGTAAATATTGCATTCCCGCGGTCACGAGGTCGATGATAAACTTACACGGCGCAGACTATCACGCACGGCTGTTTCGTTATTCCCTTTAATAGCCAAGTAGAACGTCTAACAATAATAAAACAGCTCGACGCGAACCGCTAAACGCAATGCAAATTTGCAAAACAATTGACAGTGACGAAAATCGTGTGACGTTTCTTTCTAAGTCGCTACAATATACTTGTAAAGGGATCACGCAATCCCTTGTTACAGGAGCACGACAGCGTGATGCTCGGTGAGATATCGCCCCATCACGAGTACTACGACAGTAAATCGTCCACCGAGACGCCGCCCAGTTACAATCAGCTCAACTACAATGAGAATATTGAAAGGTTCTTTAAGAGCAAACCGCCGGTCGCCACCATGTACGGCAGCGACGATGAGAACATTAATTCCAGCAACGACGAGGGCGAAAAGACCAGTCCGAATTCAGGAGGTGAGATTTCCTTGCTAACATTTCTCTATCATCTTCGTTTTATCGCTTGTTGCATGTAAAGTTGATTATACGGGGCATTCGGCCACCCCTGAGAAAAATTTTAATGCGAGATTCTAGAGGCCAAAATAAGACGAACATCAAGAATACCAATTGGTTGATTGAGGCTTCGTTAAAAAGTTATTAAAAAATTAAATTAAAAAATTGCAAATCATTCACGAAAAAATTATTTCCGGTTGCGAGGGTCAATTACAATCATTTTTGGTGAATAGACATATCCTCGAAATCCTACGCACTTTCGAAAAAAAAATTCGTTACCGAAAACATAATGTCTGACCATGTATGAATGATTCCCCTGAAATTTCATGTGTTTCAAATCGTTCTGAAAAAATTATTTTCGGTTGCGGGGGTCAATTAAAATCATTTTTGGTGAATAGACATACCCCCGGATTCCAACGCACTTCCGAGAAAAAAAATTCAGAATGGCGGACTTTTTTGGCGAAATTGAAAAATTTCAAATCGTTCTGAAAAAATTATTGTTAATTACGGGGGTTGATTACAATCATTTTCAGTTAATAGACATAACCCCGAAATCCTACGCAATTTCGAGAAAAAAATTCTTAATCGAAAATACAATGTATGGCCAGAAATGCTTCCTCGAAATTTCAAGCGTATGTTTAAAACATCGTAACTTCTGAACGGATTGGAGGATTTCGATGTTTCAAACGGCAAACAACGCGTATTTTGGAGAAGAATATGTAGGAATTTCAACAATATTGAAAAAGTTGTTCCTTGACCCCGTAAATTTAGAAATACCCCATAAAAATGGTCCAATTTTCAAACAGCCATAACTTCTACAATAGTAAATATATTTCAACGAAACTTTTTTCTGAAGTAGAGCTCATAGGTACCTGCAAAAAAGTATTAGACAACTTTTTTACAGGGCGTCAAACAAAATTACTAAAAATCAAAAACGTTTTTTTGAGAAAAATCGACAGAGCTGATATTTTTCGACGAAAACAAAGAATTTTAAATCGTAAAAAAAAAAATAATTTCAGTTGTGGTGCAATTGCAATCATATTTTGTGAATAGACATACCCCAGAAATCTTAGACACTTTCCAGAAAAAAATTCGAGGTGTGAAATTTTTCGACAAAATTAAAAAATTTCAAATCGTTGTAAAAAAAATTCTTTTCAGTTGCAGGGGGCAATTGCAATCATTTTTGGTCAATAGACATATCCTCGAAATTCTACGCATTTTCGAGAAAAAAATTCATCACTGAAAATATAATACTTTGAACAGTTAATGAAGAGAAATTCATAAATAAACAAATTACTTTCTATAAAATAGCTACGTTTACTGACTGTTTCAATCCATCAAGCGCCGTTTCATCGATTTTAATACGATATTATCACGCGTAGCAGCGAGGAAATGCATGTCGCCGATAAACGGTAGCGGCGCGAGCGGAAGCGGAAGCGCGGAAAATCTCAGCAGCGGTTCCAACAACCAGACAAGTTCGGCGAGCAGAGGAAACACGTCAAATACCACCAGCAACACCACCACTACGGAAAGTTTGAAGCCTCCCACCTTGACCGAATCGTTGCTCAATCGTCACAACGAGGACATGGAGAAGCTGATGATGCAGAAACACCGGGAGCTTCGTTCAAGTTTCAAGAACAGCGACAAGCTCAAGGATTCGCGGATAAAAGCTACCACCGACAAAACAGCGGACCCTAACGCGCATTTCATCAATCAGAATCATGGAATCAAGAGAAGCGGAAGCCATAGCTGGAAGGGTGATAGTTTCAAAGTAAGTGCTTCGCTATTTTCAAGGATTCGTAGAGTTTCAGCGAAAGGAAACTAGGTATTTCATTTCGATCCACAAATCGATGGATTCCTTGTTTCGACAAAGTAATAATAAATAAAAGGATAGAATATATTGAAAATGTTCCCGGAGGGAGACAATTTGTTATTTGTAAATATGTTTCTATACTTTATTACAGGTCTTTATCTATTTTGATAGGCATTGAGTGCGTGAAAAAATTTTAATACATTTTTTATAGACATCTGTATCAGGACCTTTTCGTTTAAAATAATAAATAATGCATTAAAATCCTTTGTATGTGAGGCAACGAACTACCGTCGGTGGTTATTTATGACCAAAAGTTGCCACGACTTTACAATTTTGTTAAAAATTAATATTGAAGATGGACTGCAATAGATACCATTTGAGTGTTATAATAAAAATATGCACTGTGAAAAATTTTATTTGGAAGATAGCTTTTTAAATTCAAACATGGTGATTTTTATTTGAAAGACAAGTTCCGCTTCTGTCATTGATAATTATATTTAGAACAATTTAATACATGAAAATCCACGAATTTCGGTGGATGAGATTGCTGATGTTGATTAAACGTAATTAAATAAATTGTTTCCTATAAAATATCACGACATTATCATTTATACAAAAATGGATAAAAACCTGTAGTGAAGTACAGGAACACATCTGAATCAATCGTGACTTTGCATTCTATTTTGATTTGATAGATATGTTATTACGCTTATGGTTGACTTCGCGCCGTTTTCTTTTGATAATTAGTGCCCGAAATAAAAAAACGTATGTTCGATTGTATTTTATCAGGTGTCGAAACACGACGAAGTGTCGAGGACAAGTACCGCGGGTCAATTTCCAGCGAACGTTGCTACAACGGTTACGAGCATGAGCGTCGATCAATCAACTGTAATTCAGACAGGTGCTAACATTAATTTGTGGCAGCCCCTATCAGTGACAGTGCCCCAACCACCACCTGTTCAACAATGCAATGCGCCGCAAAAGTGAGTACCTTTTCAGCGTGAATAACTCGATATTTGGTTGTTTGGATAAGTTCTTCCTAATTTCGAGAAACGTGGGTTTACTTCTATGGCCCCACCACGCGATAATATATAATAAATATAAACAATATAAATAGGGTATTCGTTTAAAGACTTTCTCAATTTCAAGGAAATATAGTTATTCTATTTATTTTTTATTTGTTAAGTGCATTTTTTTAGACTTTCTTGGAAAATCTTTTCCGAATAAAGTATAATAACTTTTGCAGTCAAATTTTCAAGATTTATTTATACATGTTTCAGTGATATTTTTAAATTTCTTGTTTGAAATAAAGAAACGTGAATAATTCTTAATATTTATAATTAACCATAAAGGTTTGCAGATATATTTTCTAAACTGTATTCTTTAAGAAAATGCAAAAAGAACGATTTTTTCAAAGGTTCACACTTGAATGCCCCTTAACACTAAACTTATCGTCCCTTCATGTATACCCATTCCTACCATGACCGGTCAAATGACCAGTCTTTCTTTTTCCTTTTTACGAGGGAACGTACTTCTAATTTTTGCATCATATGTATAGAAAGTTGTGTTTTGAAGTTTATTCGTAAGATATCCTTCTCTTTTATGTCGCATATTTTTTCTCAAAGCATTGAATTCTAAGAACCTGTACAAAAATATTCAATACTTTTACTTTAAACGTGCATTAGTACTTGAATAGTATTAGTAAATTAGTAATTTTCATCGGACAGAAAACAAATTTTCATTAATTAATTCCAGGAAAAACAATTACTCACGAACAAATGGTATAGTGATTATGCAAATACCCTGTATACAAATTTAAATTCATTTTCAATTAAATAAACAATTTATGATTCAGTTTTATCGCACACCAGTCGTATAATCAATAGGACTTGTTGAAACTTTTTTAGGTATATAGCGTCAAAGTAAATGTCAAAATAAACATAGAAGATAGCATAAATTATAGTAATTGGTATATTCATATGATAGAGGATGAAAAGCCCTTTAAAATGAGCGTTTGTACAAATCGATAGCTTTATTAGTTCCGGAGATATAGCGATTTTAATTTCAAGTCGATGCGGTGGCTAGTTCTGGAGATATGAGGGTCCGAAGCGTTTGTTTACTTTCTTACTACGGCCTCGTCAAGGTCGTTGACCGGCACGTGCTCGGAGAAACTAGGTCACTGGGTCACGCGAGTCACGAGTCACGTACGAGACAGAGAGGTCCGGCGCGACGCGTCAGACGAAGACAGCGATAGTCGAATAAAGAAAAATTACCCCTTTACATAAATTGCGATATCTCCGAAACGCGAAGTCGGATCGCCAAAAACCAAAAACCATTTTAAAGAGGAAGGTTTGCCGCTTCCAACGGTGGCTCAATAATGCATAAAACACTAATAGTTTTGGAACTACACGCGTTTAAAGTTTTAGTATTTTTAATACGCGTTGTTAAACTGTTTTAAGACAGTGGAAACTAAAGATTCTCTTCTTTTGTCTTTGCTATAGATATATTTTCTATTTACATCACTACTTATGTCACTATTAAATTGTTTGTAGGCGCTAATAAAGGTTGTTTCTAAGCAATGACAGTAGGCTCTAGCTGGTCTATTGAGTATTGTATCTCTATGCTCCATGAGTATTGTACAAAAATGTGTTTCTTTATAATTAACATATATTTGTTTATACGTTTAGTTTATAACAATTAAAATAGGGGATACGAAGTATACAAATTCATTTGTTCAAAAAGTAGTATTTCAAGTACAGAAGTAGATATGCCTAGAAGTTCACGATTTATCCTACTTCTAATTTTAATTTAGATAGAAGAGCACGTAGAAAAAATTCGTTCTGTAACAGTTGGTCTTATCGTTAATAAAAAATTATGTACATTTTTAAAAATTTGTGTACGTTGTCCAGTGCCTTCAAGGAATTTCATTTCTTTCTATATTTCATCAGTTTTTGAGCAAGTAACAAAATTAACTTATAATGACTAATTAATTGTAACTCGTAGAAGTCACTAGGATATATTGTTCTGGCCTTGTTTTCTTCAGAATTACGCTGGTATAAAATTCCAAATTTCGAAGAACTTGTTAATCAGACCTGATTAGTAGACGAATCTGTAACAATCGTATTTAAATTTTAGTGTCCATTCACAAGCAATACCCAGAATACCAATATTGCCATCGATGATACCAGTATATTATGTTCCGGCTCCACAAACGAACGACCCCGCAGTTTTATCGTCCCAGCAAGAGAAACTTAGCCCATCTCAATCGATGCAACCTCCACAGTCGAATCCTTACAGTATGTATATACTGATAGAGATAAAGAACAGTTTTCAATGAAAAAGCAAAACAATTGTTCGAACTATTTTCCAGTGTTTTTGCCACTCTCGTACGTCGCGACAACGATGGCTGGAGTTATTTATCCTCCAGTATTGGGTGCTCCACCGATGGGGATGATGTACAGACCATTTTCAATCCCTACACAGACACCGATCACGCGAGAAAACAACCAATCCACCATCGACCAGTGTTCCCATCGAAAACGACCAGCGAGTCAAGCGACGAGCGTCAAAGCTGAACCCGGAAGCACCATGGCGATGTCTGAATCCTCCAAAAAGGTAAAACGAACATTTGGTGTCCCGTTAGATAATCGTGGAAGTTTGTATAAATTGTAAATTTAACGTGAGGAAAAATCATGTAACGACGATTAGGTTCTATCGCCCGGTGAACTGTTTTCTTCCTGCCTGAGCAACGATGGAGGATGCTCGAGCTTGGTAGACACACCGACACCGGTGAATCCAAAAGTGCGCAAACAAAACGATTACAACGTCGACGATTCGAGCTCGTCGAGCTTTTACAGTAGTTTTCTGTACAAAAGCAGCGACAGCAGCTGCAATCCTGACCAAAAACCAACGGAGTATATGCCAGAGGTAATTGATAACCAGTTATTGGGCAGAGTTGAAAACGTGGATAGAGAGTCTGATTATTCATTATACTAAAAACAATGAAAAAGGATAGTGTTTCACAGTTTTTTATGACTAATACTACAGTGTAAATCAATCTTGCAATATTTACATTATTTTTTTAGAAATAAAGGCGACCTTCAATTTATTAAATGGAATGTCATATGTTTTTTAAATGTTATCTGAAAGTATTTGTCAAAATGAATTCCTTCCTGTATTGTGACCTTCAAGGTCAAGAATGAAAGAATAACTTTGATTACTTTATAACATTGTATTTACAGATATAAATGATTTACAAATGAAAATACAACAAGCACGCGTTTTCGTGCACAAGGAGATCATATTGAACATCTTGTATAATCTCATTAATAAAAAGCTCTTATTAAACATAATGTATGAATATGACACTCCAATTTAAAGATTGTGAGTCACTTACATTTTTCAAGAAAACTGTAAAATTTTATTCTCTTTCATTTTTTTCTAATTAGAATAGTTTTCGAAAAATTCACTGGCTTGTAATAGAATAAACTATCAAGCAGTATTTGCTGTGAATGTTTTTTATAAGTGAAAAGTATTTGTCGATCATTAGACACGTGAGTTAATTAGTTTACAAACGTTTGATCGGCAGGATAACGCGGAGCAGCATCAAGGCAAACGAAGAAAAGAACCGCCGTGGCTCGAAGGCGTCCAATTGACGCCGGAATTGATATACGAATACCAAATACACCCGAAGACCCTGAACGAAGTACTTCAAGCCGATATGGATGCCTTAAAAAATTTCAATCAACCTCTCCTGGTCAACGATCAACTGGGCCAACTCTATCTGGATTTGGAAGTCGAGGGATTTGAAACGAAACTTGTTCTCGAAGACGGTATCACGTCCAGCGGTAGTGACAGTGGGAGCAGTAACGAAAGTTGGACTGCTGGAACAATGTCGCAGGTAAAACATTGTCTTGAGATTTTCTGTTAAGCTTATATAGGTATGTACACGTTAACTTTACAGCGAGTGTAAGGTATTTTATTTTTTTAAAAAAAAGAAAAGAGAAGCACAAACCTACCACAGGATTTTTATTTTATTTACCTTGACTTTATCTTCGTTGTATCTCACTGAATACACGTAATTTCAATTTAATATTCATTGAATCAATTAGACATTGCAGCAGAGAATTTTAGATCTAAGATCATACTCGATAACGAGAATATTTATATCATCATAGAGTGTAATTAATATAAATATATAAATCTGGGAAGAAGGTATCGGGGCCAGTCTGTAAATTTGTGTGCATTTGTACTTGTGTTTATGTAGTTCGTCACTGATGTTAAAACGATCATCTGTTAACGATAGATAATGTATGGAATTGACGATAATAATCTGTGTTTTTGTTACAAATACGATGAATAAATAATCGGGTGAAAACAGGGAAAAGCTAGAATCTAACATTTTTATTCGTTATTCGTGAATAAAATTTGCCCAATAACAAGATTATAAAAATAAGTGTTAAGAGAAATTTTTAATTACGTAGTTTCTAATAATTGTCTATAATTAAAATTTTGTCTGTCAACGTGTTAAGCATATGTTAGAGTAGACATAGTCATTTTCTTGTTTTATTCCGTGTACGGTCGTAAAAATGCACACGAACGTATGGACCGAACTGATGCAAGTATTTCGGTACTATGGTTCGATAAAAAGAATTACTTTTATCAGCTTCGAGCTGATTTTTTTTCGGCCTTTTTTGTGATTTTCTTTTAATGCTAGGTAGTCTGTTTTGTACTAAGATTTTTTTCATCAAAAAATATTAAAAATTGTTGAAGTTATAATTTCTTGTTTTATGGCTCTTTTGAAAAAGGTAGGAACTAGGGAAAAGTCGAAATCTCGATAAATAAAGGAATGATTGCACTTCGAGTTTCGAATTTCTATCTTTTAACCTTTCATTTGTCTTTAGTATATTAAAAAAAATAGTAAAACTCAATATTTATTAAAATCTCTAGTTCCAGCGATAAAGGCGTGTCTGCTGAATATTCCCTCCAAAGAAGTAAATCGATCTATCATATCTTAAAATATCATGGAAGTCAGTTAAAAAAAAATCCCATTTAAACAAGAAGAACTCCCACAATTTTTAATATATTCTGATGAAAAAAATACTGTACATACTTGTAAGACGAATAAATATATCTCAGTACAAAACAGTGTACCTGTCGTTAGAAAAAGAATCGCGAAAAAGGACGAAAAAATGAGAGTCTAGAGAGAAGTATCCCTTTAACGACGATTGTACTAAAAGGGTCAAGGTCTTGTTTTACAGCAAAAACATAGAAGGAGAATGGTGAAATACGGTAAGCTCGTCATGATTCACGAAGAGAACGCGCCATTGCCACCGGCGTTACCACCCCAAACGGTACCCTGTCAGCAGTTGTAGAAACAATCTAATTACGACCAATTGCGACCAAAACGGTGTCTTCGAGTTCGAGTTATTCGTCCGTGGTGCGCTGTCGCGAATTTCTTTCCGGCATTTCAGTTGCAATTGGTCGCTGCACACAGTCCTGACGTCATCCGAACCGTTTTGTCATCTCGTTTACATTTCAATCTCGAGGCATGTAAAATTGTCTGCATCACATTTTTTTATATACACAATATATATTTTTAGCTATTTAGTAAAATGTATTTGACCTTTTCTTACGTACGCATACACATACATATATGCACTGCGATTACTCCTATCGTTATTATTGTTATATTTTTATATTTCGAGGCGCGTAGAGCGAGGATAATAATTTGATCAATGACATAATTAGAGTCAGAGTTTCGTCGATTGACTAAACGATGCGCATACATTTTTAACTGCCTCAGACGCGCTTTCTTCTCTTCAAGGCATGCGAGCTAATTTGTACGATTAAAAATAGACGTTTAAAAGTAGGGTATTTAATACGATAAGGAATCGAAATCATAACGTTTAGGATTAGTCTGTCGAGACATAAGTTCCTTGGAAGCTTCATCGAGCGTGGCTCGTCGGTACGTTATCGTCTCCTAGGATGGTATTTTTATACGGCCGTTGTATCGACGACAATTTGTAACCACGGATGCGTCCTTCGAGGATGAAAGAACTTTTCCGTCGTTACGGGGTTCCCCTAATCGGACGTACATGTACGTCCACGTGATTTCCTCTAATTGAATTCGAGATTCTTTTCAACGATGGACTTTTCATACGTAACGTTATCGGATAGAATCTCATTGTTTGAAAAATGAGATACCCGTTGGAGAGTCCGACGACTGCACAACGTATTAATATAGATTTAATGTAAATGAGAGGTCGTGGGGGAAGTAATAAAGGGAATTGATAACGTATAATTTTAAAGTAGGTACGGTATACGGTCGGAGAATTGGATCCAAGCGTTAATTTTCTTCCTCCTTTTAACAAGCCTTTGTCGAATACTCAATAATTTCCATTCTATTTTACAATTATCGTATAATTGGACTTTCCTTGTTACATTAGTTACCTTGAATAGAATTAATAGAATGGAGCTCAGTTTGCGAATGATTGTTTTCACCGTTATAATGCATCGACTGTTAGTTGTTTCTTTTCATTTTGTTCGGCATTTAATTAGAACGGGACGCTTTAAACTCGATTTAATTTTAAATATCATTTACTCGATAACGTTTCGTACAGATTATCGTTTCGAAACGTTGACCAAACGACGAGATAATTCCCACAGTAGATCAGAATTCAATTATGGCTATTGAGACTTCCCAATCAATTTCATTGTTTTGAAATTTTATTGAGAATAAAAATATATAATTATTTATCTACTCAAATTGGTTAAGATATTTTAATAGGTACAGGTATTATATTACAATAAACTTAATCTTTCAGATAAAGCTTCGTGTTGTTATAAGTAACTCAGTTTCATGATTAAAAAGATTTTGGGTATCGATTTCTGCAAAAATATCGGACAATTTAATAAAATTTCATGACTAACAATCTTTGATAAAATAAATACAAACGTTTATATTTATATGAATGTTTAGAAAAATCATTGTCAATACATAATTTTTTGAGTTTGAAAGCTACAAACATTATTTGACAGTTGAGCAACTGTTTAAATTATTATTGGACTATTTCTTTGACTGCTTAACTATAAAAAAAGCAGTAGCATGACCCAGTTAATTAGAAGAAAAATGTTATAATGGTACATGCAGGGTGTTTGACCATCCCTGGGAAAAATTTTAATGAGAGATTCTGGAGGCCAAAATAAGACGAAAATCAAGAATATCAATTTCTTGACTGAGGTTTCGTTAAAAAGTTATTAAAAAATTAAATTAAAAAATTTCAAATCATTCTGAAAAAATTATTTTTGGATGCGGAGGTCAATTGCAATCATTTTTTATGAATACACATACCCCCAAAATCCTACGCATTCTCGAGAAAAAAATTCCTTACCGAAAATATAATGTCTGACCATGAATGAACGATTCCCCTGAAATTTCATGTGTTTCAAATCGTTCTAAAAAAATTATTTTTAGTTACGGGGGTCGATTACAATCATTTTTGGTGAATGGACATATCCCCAAAATCCTGCGTGTTTTCGAGAAAAAAATTCAGTACGAGCGGAACTTTAAATGTTAATAACTTTTTAACGAAGCCTCCATCAACAAATTGGTATTCTTGATTTGTATATCAATTATTCTCCTTTTTAAATTTATTGGAACATCTTGTAAAATCTTTTTTCGTTGTTTTTCGTGTTCGATAAATTTCAGAATAAAATTGCAATTCTTTGTCTCTTTTATTTTTAAAAATTTCTTTCATTTTTCAACAAGTATTTCACTCGTGTGCGTTACATTCCGATACGTTTTGTTACCACACATTGAATAATTCTTGTTCGATCAAAATTGAGGAATCCAAAATGCAATATTTTAGAATTATTCGTTTAATAAATTCACAAATATAATTTTTATACACATTTTTCATAATATGTAACCGTTAGTTAGTTAGTGCAAAATGATTGTTTGTCATGAAATTTTTCCACTACTCGTTGATAGGTAAATGTAAATATCAAAAAGGAAACATGACTCATCATCCTTGAAGCAATCATCTATATTTACAATAACAAATGTTTCATAACACTAAACACATGGACAATGAATTTTTCAATTGTCTTTTCTTTTCTTTGTAATTCGTTAAATCGCTGAATGTTGAATCTGATCTTCTGTGCGTTGGTGCAAAATGCAAAGAAATGTAAAATCAACCCTAACAATAGCCAGCATACGAAGACGCGTAGAATTTTACAACGGTGAATCTATGAAGTTCTCCAAAAGGAGGCAGCAAACATTTTTATCCTATGGAAATTCTAATCTCTTCAGATGTGTCGGATGAAAACGCGAACAAAAAGATTGCGATTTCGTTTTGATCACGGCACAGAACTGAAACGATTGCTCGCACGTTCTCTTGGCGATAGGAGGAAAACGTCTTTGAATCTTCATTCTAGCATTTGTACGATCGAAAAATATTTTATATATCATCTATTTGTATACATAAACATATATTACTATTATCGATATGCCTGTTGATGTATCGTATAATTCGAAAGGTGCAAGAAATATTTTGTATACTAGTGATCTATGAATAATTCTTTGGAGCTAACGACGTGGCCAGTCCTTTAAATGGCCGAGGCGTTGATTTTGTAAATGCAAAAGTAACCGAACGTTTACGCTTGCATCGTCCTAAAAAAAATCGAAATCTAGTCCAGACTGTATAAAGTAGTTGCGTGACTGACGTTGAAAATTTCAGACAGAAACCGACGACGTCACCTTGACCATGAATAATGGAGTAATTTATTTGCTTGTCGTTCGAGGTGGCATCGTTCGTTTGTACGTGAGATCTTCAACATTAACTACACCTCGAGCAAAGAAACGAGGTAATCGGTACTGAGTTAAATAATTTTTCTTTTTACGATATCATTCGAATTTAGATATTTGTATATTTTTTAAACGCGCTATTATCGACTGGTTAATATTCCGTTAACATCCATAGAAGCGATCAATAACTTGTATCGTTTATTAATTACCATTTTTAGTATTAAAACGTACAGTATATTTAACGATTATTATTACCATTGAAATAGCGATAATTATAATTGGATGGTTTCAGAATTTGGATCACGTTACATTAGCACAACATTTTTGTGATTTTTTTTACAAAAATGACCGTTTGAAAGAATTGTACGTGTAAATAAATAAATGCACGCGCACGCATACGAACGTGTATTTATTTATTTTATTGACAGCGTATGTATTTCTTTATATTTGCATTTAAGATGGCGTTTTATGATTTATATGAGAACACAATAATTTGCGTCGAGAGCATTTAATGACGATGGTTTATTCTATAAGTACAAAAAAAAAAAAAAGAAATAGATTTTATACTCTCCGTGCGCGTACTTTATTCGCATTCATAGTTTTCCTAGTTTTTAACGTGGTTGTTTCTTTTTTTATACGTTCCGTTAACATTTCAAGTGCCAGAATCTTGAGAGAAAAGAGATACTATGATTGCAAATAATGAAAACGATAAGAAGATAACTTTAAATTTATATCTTTATTGTATCGTGTGTGTTTCGTTCTTTCTATTCTCGCTTGCAATATTGTAAGAATTACAGTAAAATCCTAATTATCGATCATTCATCGATACTCTATGTTCGTTTATTCGGGAAACATATTATAGTTATTTAAAAGGCGAATTTTCGTCCAATTTTGTTACTTAATCGTACAATTTACCGCGTTACTCGTTTAATATAAGTTAATACCGACTAATTGGGTTGAATCGTGTAACGAGCACTTTCGTAGTAAAGTAATTATGACTATCTGACATGAGACATCATCAAATACACTTGACACGTAATTAATAAAGCCTGTTATACAAAAAAGACCACGTTTACATTACATTACATCTTGCGATTCATGGAAACGAACGATACTCGTGCAGTTTGTCGTCTTCCTCAAGCATAAAATATCAGAGTGCCGTGTCTGATCACATTCCTGCCTAATTCATGACATGATTAATCCGTGCAAACATATTCTCCAGACGATTTGTATATTAACATCGAAATCTTTGTATAATCTGATGCTCAATTCTATAAATAAATAGAAACTGCACGAGTCACACGATCGCGAATACATCTACAGTCAGTCAAAGTGATCTTAAACATTTGTTACACGACAAACTTGTATTGTAATGGCGTAATAATAGTAATAGCAATATATTAAACATTACAGTATCGTAATGTGAATATTTTTCTAGCATTCCTTTCAGGCATAAGTGATTCGTTTATTATTCGAAATGGATATTTTCTGGTCCTTAAAATTTGTCATCGTTGTATATCACCTGATAATGTATAATTTTGATATATCGTTTCTATTCTGCAAATAAAAGTTATTTCACAATTCACTATATATACCTGTTAACGAGTTAACGTAGCGAAAAAAAAAAGAAAACATTTTCGGGTAGAATTCGCGGCTCGCCCTGAAACTGTATCTTTTGTTCTTTTTCCTTTTCGTTTCTATTATTGCACAACGAAAGATGAAAGTGAAATAAACACGTTTGTAAAATTTCATCCCTTTCGTATTGGATAGTACACGTTTTACAAGTGAAAGTACAACTTCACTAAAAGGATAGCTAGCATAATATTAGAATACTGTCGCATATATTATCTTTGTACATCTTCGTCAACGTTGAAATACACGTACGAAATATACTACGTCTATGGGTAAATGTAAACAAAAAACAAACAAACAAACACATTGTGTTGTCTTCTTTTTATTCCTGTTTATATTTGGTATCAAACGATCTTTGTCGCTTCGTATCGCTACAGTGATGAGACTTGCTTCGGGGCACGTCCCCTGACAAACGATGGATTTGAGACCATTTAGAATCATCTTATTAGACTTGTCACGTATGATTTCATCGCGGTTGGATATTGTGGTCACTCACCTACGATGAGTCTTCAATGCCACCGCCTCAACGATTCAATCAATTGATCAACTCTACAAACTATTTTATAATCCAAACAATCGTTTCTGACACTGGAACGGTTCAATTAAAAAATAAAATTAAATCGTCCTTCGTTCATTCGTAAATAATTTAACAAAATTCTTTGGTTTATTTTGCTTTCCTTTAATAGTGACATACGAAAAAACATATTTCTCTTAACACTATGTGGGGACTGGTGTCCAGATATACGTCTATTAGGTATCGAAAAAAATTTACTTTATTACTATTATTTATTAAGAACAATATTGACATCAATGGAAAGTACAGGGTATCTAGTTTTTCAATTGATTTCTTATTTTCCATTTATTTCGATGTTGCATTCTCTATACAAAAATAAAGATGGAAACGAAAATGTGTCTTTTTGCTTCACGAATTAGAACTTGGGAATTCAGCCTCCGACCTTAGCAAGGCAAACTTGTACCGTTTGCAAGATTAAATAAATGAAAATTCATTTAAATATATTTATTTAAAAATGACACACACTTTCGTTTCCATCTTTGTATAGAGAATGCAACATCGAAATAAACGGAAAATAAGAAATCAATTGAAAAACTAGAATAATATAAAAATAATTCAAAAGATTTAAAAAAATTAATGAAACGCTAAAAGACGAGTCATTTTCAAGGCATCAGGAATGAAGAATTATGCGAATAAACTGCTGATGGATAAAGTATCACGAGTGGAAAGTTATACCACGTCTTCCCTACAGTTTGAACCTATTTTTGTAACAAATAAGCATTTAAAAAACAATGATAATATCAAAATAGCCTCTACCCAACTTTTAAAAGCTTGTAGAACGTTGGAAAAAGGTTGCAGAATTGATTGTTTCGTTGAATGGAATTGTATTGCAAGAAAGTTGTGATTATTTGAAGTTTCTGATCTCAGATATTTAGAAATCAGAGACTCTAACTGATTCCAGATAATTCTCAAACCAGTTGCTCGTCGCGAGACACTGTTCGAGGCGAGTCTCATCGTACAATGGCCGCTTTACACTCGTTCGTACTCCGACGGTTGTTCGTTTCGTGTCTTACATCCATGATTGGTCTAAATTTATTTTATATTTCGGGCTCGACTAATTTAATATTTCAGCTTGTCAACCAAACACTTCGTCGCGCACAGTTTCTCGACCTCTGATTCGATCAGCATCAATGACCATCGGTCAAGGTCAGATCAATGAAACGTTCTCAGAAGCGTTCGCCTCTCTGGCTCTCCATACTTCCACGCCAACTTCTGAGCTCCCAATCTGCACGAAAAAACGAAACCCATCCAAATGGAGTCCCTTAAAAAATGCTAAGCCCTTTGGCATTCCGGTAGAACATTGCCCAATTTATAAAGTTTTCGAAAAAAATCAATCAAACTTTTTCTACTTATTTTGTTTGAAATTATTTTTTCTTTCTTGTGGACGGAGCATACCAAAGGCGCGATTGCATCTTTTTAGAAGATTTTTATGTGCTGGACAATTATTGAATATTACCTCGACCAATTGAACTTCCTTGTCGGACTTTTTTAGGAATTTTCTTATAAACGGGGCCAACAACATTGGGTCCAGCTTCTCAACGTTTTCTGACGATATGAGACTCACTGCCAGGCCAACGCTCATTGTTACCAGAGCACCGGTGACGGTGTACCAAAGGTAACTGAGACGATACAACGCCAAAGGTTCTCTGAAAATTACCTTAGAAAGTGTATCCAAGCGTTCACCGTTTCAGAAATTCGTTTTTTCGTTAAATATTTTAATGAAAGCTTACGGGAGAAACTCGTCGTCTTCCAAGATTGTATCTGGAGGGACGAACAGCAACAAATTCTCTACCTTAGGAAAGGAGTAGTAGCATCCTTCCGTAGTGACTTGTTTCTCATCGAATCTATTAAACATTTTTGCATTATTAGAGAATACAAAATTATGATAGAAATTAGAAATATTGTCTTTATTAAAACTCTTCGGTGGAATTGGACAATAATATCTGGCAAGGAATGAAAACAATATTTTATAAATAAATAAATATATATGTGTAGGGTGATCCATTTAAATCGAAAGTTCCTCCTTTCTATTGGGGAAAAACACGAATGCTTTTGTAAGTATATTACGCAAAAATTAAAAATACATAGTATCAAACAATTGAAATACATGTATAAAAAAATGAAAGTTAACATACAATTTCCAATTAAAAATCTGTGTAAAATTGTTTATCCCTTCTTCCTTCGATTTTGGGTGTAATAATCTACTTTTGACCAAGTATTATTCTGTACATGCACACTATGTACTGTATATTCTTGCAACATAAAATATGGTTAAGAAATTAATTAGAAAATTTAAGTATATATTTATTGTTAAAAAACTCAATTAGTAAATTAGCAAATATGTAATATACATTTATTCGTACATATTATAATAACAATGAAACTGTATACATACATATAGATTTATAACTGTATACATATACATTTATGTATACAGTTTTATTCTGTTATTATAATATGTACGAATAAATGTATATTACGTATTTGCTAATTTACTAATTGATTTTTTTAACTTATTTTATATTGCAATAATATGATGTAGCATATAAAACATACAGATAACAATATTTATTATACAGGGTGTTCGGCCACCTCTAGCAAAAATTTTAATGAGCGATAGTAGAGGCCAAAATAAGACAAAAATCAAGAATACTAATTTGTTGGTGGAAGCTTCGTTAAAAAGTTATTAACGCTTAAAGTGCTGCTCTTACTGAATTTTTTTCTCGAAAATGCGCAAGATTTCGGGGGTATATCTATTCACCAAAAATGACTGTAATTGAACCCTACAACCGAAAATAATTTTTCCATAACGATTTGCAATTTTTTAATTTTCTCGAATAATTTCACATCTTCTCTATTTTTTTTCTCGAAAGTGGGCAGGATTTCGTGGGTATGTCTAATGACAAAAAGTGATTGTAATTGACCCCCGCAACCGAAAATAATTTTTCCACAACGATTTGCAATTTTTTTTCTCCGTTGAAAAATTTAGGCACCTAATTGGATTTTCAGTAAGGAATTTTTTTCTCGAAAGTGCGTACAATTTCGGAGGTATGTGTAATGATAAAAAATGATTGTAATTGATCCCCGCAACCGAAAATAATTTTTTTAGAACGATTTGAAAAATTTTTTTTCGCCGAAAAATTTCAGCACCTACTCGATTTTTCTTCTCGAAAGTAGATAGGATTTCGGAGGTATGTGTACTCACCAAAAATGATTGTAGTTGACCCCCGCAACCGAAAATAATTTTTTCAGAACGATTTGAAATTTTTGAATTTAATTGTTAATAACTTTTTAACGAAGCTTCCATCAACAAATTAGTATTCTTGATTTTCGTCTTATTTTGGCCTCTACTATCGCTCATTAAAATTTTTGCTAGAGGTGGCCGAACACCCTGTATACTAATAATTGAAGTTTATGAAAAATCTGTGTTGTTGGAAACCGCATTGTTCGAGGGCCAACTGTAAATCGTTTTAATGTACCTAAGAAAAAAAATATTGTATGATTTGGATGACCCAAATACGTTGGTAGGAAGCTCTGATTTTAATAAAAGGACGTTTACATGGACTAATAATATGAGTAATTTCTCTCGACAGACGTGCGTATGTACGAGTTACAAAATCATGATAGCTGGATTAAAAAAATCTTACTTTAATCTTCCGCTGGCGATCGCTGCTTCGGCTGAAAGGCTGATCCATCCCATAAAGCCCAAACCAGAAAGACCACCGATCAGAGCACCCTGAATTGTGTATAATATCGTTATGCCTACGTTTACAATCAGTAAATTAATCCAAAGGTTATTTTTAACGAGCAACAGAGAAATATATAATTTTTAAAATTTTTTACAATAAAAATTAGAAATTATAGAGACCATATTTCTATAGATACGCGTACCTTACAAATGTAGTATACGAGTAAGTGTAATTAGAAAATTTAATTTAATAAAAAGTGTATTCTAATACATATGTGATTTTACTGTTTCAGTCACCATGTCATCATCTATTTAACTTATCGTATTTATTGAGATTCAAATATTATATTGTGTGATTATTATGGTATCCCAACATTTATAATTCCCTATAATAATATTCCTAGCATTTTCGTGTGCCTCTGCGTATCTTTCACCATTTAATGTTCCATTGATAAAATATTTTGGTATTCAAGGTAATTTAAAAGTGATATTTTAAACATATTCAAATGCATTTTTCATTCGATTTGAGGTGTAACAGAAAAAAAAAATTCACGCTTCTTTCATCAGAAGAAACCAATGGCCATTTAAACTGAGCCATGAACGATTTTAGGTGCGTATTGCTGTATGTGGATTTATGTTACCGACTGACACTAGTTATTTATTGAATTTCTGCGTACATTGGCATTCACCCAGGGCAGCAGGATTCCCATACTGAATATACCGAGAGATGGTCCACTGGCAATGGACGCCAAGCTCATCGATAACTGAAACACACTCTATTTTAGATAAAAGTTCCCTCGAATTGTGTATTCGCACGGCAGAGTTGGGCAAATTTTATTCCCGAATAATGAATTATATAAAATTATTGAATATTGATTTTTTAAAAACCGTCGATAAATTTTAATCTATGAATTTACGAATAAAACGTATATAAAAGTTAGCGTGTGGATCAGTCTGAAATTTGTATTCGTTGTTCGCGAATAAAATTTCCTCCATTCTGTCGCACGGTATACCTGCAAAACGTGGGAACCAGTTTTCTCAACGACGAACACGAGAGCCACGCAGATTATCCCTAAAACGACTACTGTGAGTTTCATTAAAATGTCCGCCACTCTGGGAGTAAACGGTGTCTTCCTAAAGGGTTTCACGAAGTCTTCCAACACTACCGCGGACATGGAATTTAAACCAGTTGATAGAGAGCTAAAGCGTCGAGACAGATAATTTTCGATCATTAGTCACGAACCGCGGAAGACATTCTCAAAACAGTTTACCTCAATGCTGCACTGAATACACCAGCGACGAAGAGGCCTGGAAGACCAGGCATGTCTCTCAATATGTTCATTACGAGCAATGGCAACAATTGGTCCTTTGCACCTGCTAGCTGTACCAAAAATATTCGTTTGAAACATCGAATTTACGGAATATATTTCCGTTGATACTATCCGTTGATATTTTGTAGGGAAATATTTACTCATTTTTTATTTACCAAACGCATTAGTGTTGACCATATTCTAAAACAACGTTTCCCAAACTTTTGAAACGTTTGAAACATTGTTTCTAAAACACCGCACACCACTTTTATGTTACTTTATTATGATATACTGTAATAACATGGTAATCAAATAAATCTCAGTGCATATCATTATTTTCCCTTAAAAACTACAATTTAAATTGTTTTTGTCTATATAGGGTGTTCGGCCATCCCTGGGTAAAATTTTAATGGGAGATTCTAGAGGCTAAAATAAGATGAAAATCAAGAATATCAATTTGTTTATTGAGGCTTCGTTAAAAAGTTATTGATAAATTAAATTAAAAAATTTTAAATCATTCACGGAAAATTAATTTCGGTTGTGGGTGTTAATTACAATCATTTTTGGTGAATAGACATACCCCCGAAATCCTATGCATTTTCGAGAAAAAAATTCGAGTAGGTACTGAAATTTTTCGGCGAAAAAAAAAATTTCAAATCGTCCAAAAAAAATTATTTTTAGTTGCAGGGGTCAATTAAAATCATTTTTGGTGAATACATATACCCCGAAATCTTACTCACTTTCGAAAAAAAAATTCAGGAAGGTGGACAAATTTTTCGACAAAATTAAAAAATTTCAAATCGTTCTGGAAAAATTGTTTTTAGCTGTGGGTGTCAATTACAATCATACTTTATAAGCGGACACACCTCCGAAATCCTACGCACTTTCGAGAAAAAAATTCTTTACCGAAAATTTACTGTGTGGCCGGAAATGTTTCTCTAACTTTTTAACCAAGCCTCAATAAAAATTAGTATCCTTGATTTTCGTCTTATTTTGGCCTCTAAAATCTCTCATTAAAATTTTTCCCAGGAGTGGCCTGTATACATATAATATAGTATAACTGCCTTTCTGCACAGTGCACCTTTCAGTATTTACATTTTGAGTATTTTTTCTTTTTTTCATTGCTTCGAAAACCCTGCATATTTTCTGCCTCAAAATCCGAATAGCTACGAAAGAACATAAGCGTTTCTTGACTAAACTACTTCAAGTCAGCAAAGCACAGTACAGTATTGTCTCGTTATAAGACGTAATTCCCGTTTCATTATAAGTAGTCTGGCTATTTCCTCTACTAAGCACGGTAAATTTGCAAAAAATCAGTCGAGTATATTTTTTACATTTTGACCACTTTGGTAGTTCTGGCGTTAAACTATCATGTTTTGATTGACGAGAAATTGTTAATGAAATATAAAATTCTAATTTTGGGAACAGAAATCAGCCCAACATGATAGACGATCAAAGTAACATTATAAATTATCAAACGTCTATTGAACGACAAGTATTTAATATTAGTGATATAGGTAATATCCGTTGAATATGAAATCTGATACTTCCAGTTCAGGATATATTGTGAAATTGGACTATCAGGGAAGCGTGATTATTACCTTCGTCGTAAGTGGATCACACTCATGGTACCAGGCATATATTAACATTCCCGCGTATCCGCATGTTCCCATTAAAATCAAGACTCCGACTATGAAACACCAGAGAGCTCTGGAATGCACAATTTCACGCATCGCTTTATTTACTGTACCATTCGCAACATTCTATTTCGTACGCTGGACCTGGGCACTTCCGGGACACTATTTTAAATAACCTGCTATCTCATTTTCACGATCATTTAATTTCTGCGATAAAATTACGTCATCTTATTTCAAGAAATAACTTCGAAAATAATAATTCTGTATTTGAAATAATTATTTTCTAAACCAATTGACGTATCCCGGAAGTATGATATTTTGAAATATTTCAATCCTCTGTTTGACGCTTCGGTCAATGTTTATGTCCAAAAAGAAAGGCCATTTTATTATTTGACAATTACAATACAAAATTGTCATGTTTCAATATTTACAGTCAATGCACGAAGATTGAAGAAAAACAATAGATATTCTATAGACAAATTTTGAATAAACTTTGAATGAATATTAGCGCAACATTTACATTAACTTCTGTGAATAGTAAAAATTTATGAAACATAATTCCATAAATAATATATTAATAGGAATCGGCTGGCTAAGGGTTAACAAATGTATTTAAAATGCAAATTTAATAATAATTAGTATAACAAATACATATCATATTTAATTATTCATTCCAAAAGCTTGTTACAAAGTATAATCAATAACCATGTAAAATATTTAACATTATTACTTCAATGTTCGTTTTAAATATCTGCTATTTCAAATAATGAAATACCTTCAAGGCCAAGCAATTGATACGACCGTAAAACATAAATAAAGAAGCAAAAAAAGAATTACCGTGCGGGAAATAAAAGATTGAAATATTGTTTCATATAGTTATTTTTTCTTTTCATTTCAAATAAAGTTTTCCCAGATCCGTGACGCGCGAATAATAAGATCTACGGAATATTGATGTACCTTCTGGCCGATTGCAACGTGGGCAACGAGAGATAACGCTGTATCATATTTTGATTGATAGCGGCTATTTGCAACCAGTGGACGAAACCGCCAATCACCAGGGACCAAATTGTGTGCCTCGTAAGAGGATTCCAATCTGTCCTATTAGATGATAATTCATACAAGTTAAGAACAGTGTGCACATAATTAACACGTTCGCTACCGCCGTTTTGTATTTAATAGAATTCCATGCTTTTAACTATATACAAATTAAATGTCTTTAATACTACCGTGGTTTTATGCATCATATTATCAAAGCGAAATGATTAATCATAGAAAATAATTTCAAGTTAAAATTTTGAAAGGTGTTCGACACGTTTTGTTGAGCCGTTCATAATCTCGCGGCAATAAGCACGCGGCCAAAGTGGCGGCACCTATAAGGTTGAAGATCATGCGGGGATTCCCGTGTCTTTTGTTCGTGTCGAGTCGCGTCGTTTTGTTCGAGCTGCATGGTCGGCATTACTGTAATTTCTTACAGTAAACTACGTAATACTTAAGGAATAATTAAAGTGGTTGTGTTTAACATTTTAACATTGTTTATATATATTTATTTAATCAGTTCCTATGCAAGGGGATCTGATATTCAACACCTTTGATAGAAATAGTGTTAATAGGCCAACTGTTTCGTTTGTTTGTATGAACATTAAATATAAATTGCTGTTATATAGATGTAACTCACGCGTGGTAGCAAACATGTTAATACTAAACCTACCGCGACCGGTTAAACGACCGTTTTTAAAATTTCGTTTAAAATTTCTAACATGCAATGTTATTTTAGCACCATTTAATTTCACAATTTTCACTTCTATTTTTATTGTTTGTTTTCTGAGCGAAATTTGGCACCTGTCTTGCCTACCACGATTTATATTATTTATATTTTTTTGTAAAAAAAAACCGCATAAAATTTGGTAGCAAATTTTGGTTAACTTCCAATATAAATGAGAAATTTGTAGCAAAGATAAAAGGAAAGCATCTTCAGTTCCCACTGACTTAGAACAGTCTAACAACGCGCATTAAAAATAATAAAACTTTAGATGCGTGCAATACCAAAACTATTAGTGTTTTATTCATAATTGAACCACTGTTAGAAACGGTAAGGCCTCCCCTTCGAAGTGTCTTTTGTTTTTTGACGATACGACTTTCCGTTTTGGAGATAACGTAATTTATGTAAAGGGATAATTTTTTAAATTCAACTATCTCTGTCTCCGTTTTCCGCATCGGACCTCTTTCTCACTCTCTCTCGCGCACGCGCGTGAGTGACGTAGTGCACGTGCAGCCAACGACCTTGCCAAGGCCGTAGTGAAAGTTTATTGGCCTCGCGCCCGTAAACAATGAAAAGTAAACAAACGCTCCAAAACCTAAAAATCGTTATATCTCCGGAACTAATTATGCTAATACCAAGTATACACATTTAGATTAAAATTGTTCTATATTTGTACAGATTTAAAAAAAAAATTACGAAAAAATATGCCACATAAAAGAGAAAGATATCTAACGAATAAATTTCAAAACACACAACTTTCTACAGATATAATGCAAAAATTAGAAGTATGTTGCCTCATAAAAGAAAAAAAGGAATATTGGTTATTTGATCAGCCATTGTAAGAATGGTTATACATGAAGTGTCGGTAGGTTTAGTGTCAATTTGATTTCAGTTACGATATTACGATACTCACGTGGGAAACTCCAACCTTCCAGATTCCAAGTTCCTTCTTAATACCAACGACAATCCGCCCACGTCGTTTGTCCCTTTAATAACGATCAGCAGCATAGAACCGTACATTATGAAGGTCTGAATGAAATCGGTCCACACCACTGCCCTTAAACCGCCCTAATCGGCATAACATAACGTTACCGCGTGTCTCCGACGAAACGTGAAATAATAATTACAAGAAAAGGAAAAGGAAAAGAATTCAATTTACGAAATTGTTGCTTACCACGCAAGTATAAAAAATGCACACGATACACACGAATGGAGTTACTATGTGCACATTCACCCCGGTAACTGTAAGTTACAGTACGTATTAGTTTAGACATTTGATGTACGGTTGAGACACTGGATGGAAAAACGCCCGTAAATCATTTTATACTGACTATATTAATTTAAATATATGTTATATATAAATTCCAAAGAGATAAATAATAATTGAGACATTTTATGTTCTTTATATGATTCCATGTTATTCCACCTTTCAAATCCTGGAAAAAGATGTACAATAAACCTGGTTTGAAAGCTAGTAAAGAAAAGGACGTAAGAATGTGGATCTAGTTATGTCGACGTTCGAGAAAGAAGAATATTAACCTACAGAAAAATTATTTTTAGAAATTAAATTTTTTCTACTTAATTTCGTTTCATTCTCCAAGCAACATTTTATCTCATTTATGGCAAAATTTGCACATAAACCAATTTTTAAAACATGTATTATCGTCAAATCTATTTAGAAAACATTTAAGGATATACTACTGTATCTTTAAAAAATTCAGTCCTTCTCATTACATCTGTTTCATTAAATAACGCCGTAATAAAAAGTTTGAAATTGACTTTCTCGAAATGTCTTTTTGACGTACGTGACCTTTTTTCACCCTGTGCCTCCGTTTTATCAGTAATTACACAATGTGTGGTACCTTGATTGAAAGCAAGCGCAGGTACATAAATAACGATAGGAAGCCACGTCATCTAAAAGAATAATGAACGTATTTCTAAAGACGTTTGGAACAGAAGCAAATGGAATTGAATTTAGTCTATCAAGGTTAAACCATACTAGATGCTCTTTTTAAAATGTATGAAAGCCATTTCTACTTTTTTTTTCTTTCCCCAAAATTCCCAAATTCTCAAAAAATCCCCAAGAAAATTTAAAAAAACACATTTCACGCTAGAATGTCCCCTCAAGCAACTCGACTAAAGTAGTCTGATTTGACAAATTTTTCTGTTACTCTCATAGTTTAAAAGACAATACAGATAATAATTTTACTGGGATTCCCTGTCTAATTTAAAAGTCTGGATATTTGAAATTCTGCTATACTTTTCAGACAGCATCGTTCTCTGTACCGTATTAATTTGAAAATATAACACAAGAATTTAACTGTATAATGAAGTAGGTTGTAATTATTGTAATTGAAAGATTAGCTACAATGAGGAGGCAGCTCCATTTTCTACACATTTTTTGTTACATATTCTATTTCGTTAACAAAAATGTGATCTTTCATTTGGTATAAACGGGAGTTGGGTCCAAGTAAAAAGTATGGACTTTTCGCAGTAGATCAACAAATAATAAAGGGGAAAAAAAATATTTGATTACAAAGTATAAACTGTTCTGTTATGAAGCTCATTTGACTCAGAAATGGCGCGAAGCGTTCATTGCAATGACTAATCTTCAGACAGCTTACAAGAGCTCATTTTACCACTAAAAACTGACAAGTATGAAGGTCTAATATGTCTACGTCTACGATACTGAGACAATAAATTTATAATTTATATTATAAATCTTTTTAGTGAATACTCACTACCTTTTTCCTACTTTGGTGCAAAAAAGAGATTCAATATTTAAAATTAGAAAAATGAAAGAGCTATTCAAACTCAGTGTAAAAATTTCTTAAGACAAATATTTGTTGACCATAAATTTATAACGTGTTTAAAAGCTGCCTCATTATTGCAACAGGTCCCTCAATTATCGTATAGTTTGAAGAAATAAATTGTTAAAAGCTTCTATCGCGAAAACGAGCAAAGTAACTTACGACGCTGATCGAGAAAAGGACCGATCCCAGTAATCGAATCTTTTTATCGAATCGTTTCTCGAGATACTCGTAGGTACTTGTCAGTTTGAGTTCATGGAAGACCGGTAAATATATTCCGGACATCACGAAACCGACGATGATGATGCCGAAGCAGACACAAAGGTAGCTGGTGCCATGTACATAAACCTCCGTCGGTGTACCCAATAACGAAATACCTGTTATCGCAATAATAATTTGTAACTCTGTACATCGGATGAAAAAAAATGTTAAAATAATAACAGTTATCGATTCTTAACGAATTACGATTATTCTATCCTTTTTCAGGGGCGAATCCAGGTTTACTCGGAGCAGTAAGAGGGGTGAAATTTATTAGGTCACCCCGTAAGTCCGTGCTATTTGATATTCTCAAATTGACGAGGATAAAATTCGTAACTTAGTCGGGAAAAACAATATTTATAGGTTCTAGAGATTTTTGAAATTTTAATCCTATGCTCTTCTCTGGCGTATCATTTCTCAATACAAGTTTCATTTATAGCAACGCAAATTGAATTTAAAAATTACACGAATAAAATTGAAATTATAAGAATTTATACGTTTTTGCGGTGAAAAGAATAGTTTCTTATTTTTTGTAGTCGCATCAAAAAATTAGATTGATGTTGCTAGTTGTTCGCATTAATACAGTTTCTCGAAATGCAAAAGGTTAAACATACTAACATCAACGATTCATAGACATTTGTAAAAATGGTGATTGCATAAATATTTTTGTTCGCGTATGAAATAAAACCGAACTTTTCCTATACCGCTTAATAACTGAAGATGTGAAATAGATTTTATATAATCTCCAGGCTTTTTGGTCGGTAAACAATTCAAAAATGTCAACGTGCTAAATAACAGCTTTGTACAACATTTTAAGTTGCAATATAAAACTCAGCACGAACTTATGGAATGGCATATCTTGATAATACATTATTGAACCTTCTTTCTCATGAAAAAATGAAACATGTAAAATGAATGAAAAACTGGATTCGCCATTATCCTATTTCCATATTCAAACGAATAATTAAATGAATTGCATTTAAAATTTAACAAATAAATAGAGAAAAAAACTGATCCTGTTTTAGTAATAAAAAAAGTGTCGATAATTGTGACATTTATTTTATTTTGAAAAATAGCGCAAATTTCAGTACTTTTGAGTAAACAAAATCGTACCAGATATAAAGCTGGCTATTAGACTCAAACTGACGGGAAAAGTCTTCATGTTTCTTCCGCCCACGAGGTACTCGTCTTCTCCCGACGATTTTTTAATGAAGCCAAAGTAAATCCCGACTAAACCGCAGGTCATCAGCATGAACGCGAAAACCAAATAGTCCCACATGCCGAAACTCCGCATCATTTCGCCGACTTCCTGGACCGTAGGCATATCCTGCAGCCAGGTTGGTCGGTCGTCCAAGGAACTCTCCGCGGTCATTTTGTTGCAAAACGGAATTTTGCAATCGATCCAACGCCTTCAGGCGCTCCGCGTCACGAGTCGTGTCTTCTGAGCAACTGGTGATCGAATTTATTTTAGAAAAAAAAGAAACAACGATAAAGATAAAAAGTTTTAACGCGTCGATTTCGACAGAACTTTTTAAGTACGGTCAATAGAGATTGAATCAACTTCGATATACAGGGTGTTCGGCCACCCCTAAAATTGTAATGGGAGATTCCAGAGGCCAAAATAAAACGAAAATCATGAATACCAATTTGTTGATGCAGGCTTCGTTAAAAAGTTATTAACGTTTAAAGTTCCGCTAACACTGAATTTTTTTCTCGAAAATGCGCAGGATTTCGAGGGTGTGTCTATTCACCTAAAATGATTGTAATTGACCCCCGCAACCGAAAATAATTTTTCCAGAACGATTTGAGATTTTTTAATTTTATTCGAAAATTTTACTTCTCGAATTTTTTTCTAGAAAATGGGTAGAATTTCAGAGGTATGTCTATTGACCAAAAACGATTGTAATTGACCCCCGCAACCGAAAATAATTTTTCCAGAACGATTTGAAATTTTTTTTTCCACCGAAAAATTTCAGCACTACCCCAGTCGATTTTTCTTAAAAATTCGTTTTTGATTTTTAATAAATTTTGATTAGTACTTTTTTGTAGGTATCCATGAGCTCTACTTCAGAAAAAAATTTCAATCAAATCCATTCACTATTGTAGGAATTATGGCTGTTTGAAAACTGGACCATTTTTATGGGGTTTTCCTCATTTTGCGAGGTCAAGGATCAACTTTTCGATTATTTTTGTATTTTCTACATATTCTTCGCTAAAATACGCGTCGTTTGCATTTCGAAACATTGAAATCGTCCAATCCGTTCAGAAGTTATGACGTTTTAAAAATTTGCGAGAAATTTCCGGAGGAAATTAGGAATTTAGGAATTTTTTTCTCGAAAGTGCGCAGGATTTCGAGGGTATGTCTATTCACCAAAAATGATTGTAATCGACCCCTGCAACTAAAAATAATTTTTTTAGAACGATTTGAAACACGTGAAATTTCAGGGGAATCATTCATCCATGATCAGACATTATATTTTCGGTAACGAATTTTTTTCTCGAAACTGGGTAGGATTTCGGGGGTATGTGTATTCACCAAAAATGATTGTAATTAACCCCCGCAATCAAAAATAATTTTTTCAAAATGATTTGGAATTTTGTAATTTAATTTTTTAATAACTTTTTAACGAAGCCTCAGTCAAGAAATTGATATTCTTGATTTTCGTCTTATTTTGGCCTTTAGAATCTCCTATTAAAATTTTTCCCAACGGTGACCGAACACCCTGTGTACTTATGAATCCGAGTCCTAGCTTTTGAATTTAGAATAAGCACACCCACTAATATACTCTTAATCGAAATTTCAATTCATACAAAAACGGTCAAGAATTCTGTGTAACAGTTATCTCGCCAAAAATTCCAACAAACTATTAATAAACGACACTACTCGGTTCCAAAAAAGGGTAAAATATAGTAGAAAGTACAAGTTTAGTAACAGACTACTATGATGTAGAAGACTTAAATAATATTGTGAAACATCTACTTCTCCACCCATTACGATATCTATGATCAGAAGTACCTTTCTTTAATAAGTAACATTCACATTAATAGTACGTACGGTCAAACACTAGCAATTGTTTAATAAAACAACTAGTAACAAAAGAAGAGTCTTATGATATATTTACGGATGGGAGTATATCCAAAAGTAGAGTGTCAGTCGAAAGTGGTATCGATCAGTCAATTCGTGTCAATTCCGAGTCAATTCAAGTCAATTCGAGTCAAAGAGTCTTATGCTATATTTACGGATGGGAGTATATCCAAAAGTAGAGTGTCAGTCGAAAGTGGTATCGATCAGTCAATTCGTGTCAATTCCGAGTCAATTCAAGTCAATTCGAGTCAAAGAGTCGTATGCTATATTTACGGATGGGAGTATATCCAAAAGTAGAGTGTCAGTCGAAAGTGGTATCGATCAGTCAATTCGAGTCAATTCCGAGTCATTTCAAGTCAATTCGAGTCAAAGAGTCTTATGCTATATTTACGGATGGGAGTATATCCAAAAGTAGAGTGTCAGTCGAAAGTGGTATCGATCAGTCAATTCGAGTCAATTCGAGTCAATTCGAGTCAAAGTCAAATCGATCAGTACTAAAAAGTATAAATGAGACACTGTAGATATTGTTTTTCACAAACGTTGCAAATTCTTTGAGATCGCTACTCGCTCTAAAACAAAATCGTTCTAAATCTTAGTATAAGATCTAATCCATGTATTATCCGGATTAGGAAAAAAGTGTTTCAATTCTCTATGAATCTCATAGATATACAAAATCAAATTCTATTGGGTACCATCGCATGTTGGAATGCAGGGTAACGAAATTGCAGACCGATTAGCTAAAAGTGCTACACGTGTACCCTCTCCGAACTCTTTAACAATTCCCTCCACAGACTTTAAAGAAATACTTTAAAGGAATCTTCTGCAACGAAAAATACAATATTTTTAATCGACGAAGGTGAATTCAAGGATACCAATTATTTCAATCGTTTTTGTAACGAGAAAACAAAAACAAGCAAAATACATTTTGGGAACTAAAGCAAACCAAAAATTCTACCCAAGGTAAAAGTTGTTCGAAATTTTATCATTTATGACGTATTTTGAAAATCATTGAAATCGATGAGAGGGCAGGTAATCGAGAACTTGATCTTACAAATAAAATATATAAAATTAAGCACTTAAATACGAATATGATTGTTTAAACGTCTATCGTATTGCTACTAGAAACGACGTAAGTATGACACAAGAATACTAAGTCAGGATATGGTTGTACTAAAATAAACTTTAAGCAATATGTACATATTATTTTTCATAAAAGTAGTATGAACAAATTAGTGAGATTTTACTAATAAAAATGAGATCAAACACGATCTCGTTTGAACTGTATTTAATACTTTGGCGGCCGCTGTCACGTGTACGTGAATTTACTACTTCGATCGCATCAGCAGATCTATTCAACTTAATATGTCTGTTCAGGTTCAAGTTTTATCACGTCTACTTATTATGGTATCTGTGCGTTTATAATTCCTGGTATGCTTTATTTTAATTATAATGTCACAATGTACTAATGTAACATTGTACTAGAGAGAAAAAGGAATCACCCCTGGAATAATGTTAAGTAATTCTTATTTACAAAGAAGAATGTCTGACCCAATGCAACTAGCAATTCCTGCCAGAATTGATTTTTCTTTTTACTTAAAAGTTAATTCAGGATAAATATATTCATATGTATTTATCTATAAAAAAAAATTGAAAAAAAGTTAATTTCATATGTGAATACACATACGTATAAAAAATATGTGTACAAGCATGAGCGAGGGCATAATCTCATAACTAGAGAGCTCGCTGTACCTTTAATTTAAAATGTTACGACACAAATCGCGAGGAAGTTTCAAATGAAAACGAGTGCTTTTTATTTTACGCATTTTCGACGAAATAATTGTAAATTGTGCTTACCGTAACTGTTGTACTCGATAATTGTTTTGTCCATTAAACCTTTTTCATCATGAAAGATCGTGCAACGGTGGACTTCCACTACTTCCGCTTGTGTACAGTTACAGAAAAACAGTGAATTAAAATGTATAATAAAATTTAATGGAGGAATATATGAACGATGCTCTGCTACACACGACGTACACTTATGAAAAAATGTTTTTACGTTTTACATTAGAACTAGATAAAAAAAAAAAAGTGACTTCGACTGTGACACGATGGACAATGTAATGCGTGCTGACCGTAGAAGGTCGCAGAGGGTATCACGGAAGACCGACTACAACTACCGTGACAGTTCATCTGAAAAGAGCCAAAAGCTCGAAGCGGCTCGATGCGATTGCACACATCATGATTGTGCCATTGTGACAATTTTCTCATTAAACCGACAATGGACATTAAGTACGAAGTTAAAACGACCGGGTATATACCGGAGTGAATCGTAAGTGGATAATACGACCTAGATATAGTTGTAGTTGTGTAGATGTGTTTGGTCATCACATTGACGGTCGCGATTTAGCAAAGCTCCCGAATGATTTTTGGGTATCAATGAATTATTCATTAATATTGTTACAACTGTAACGATTAACCCGATATTTTTAAAACCGTATCTTCGCTAAATATTAATTTTGGGACAGGTTACGCACTAAAGAGAAATAGTAAAATAATTTTCGTTTAGATTTAATTAAGAAACTCGACATTATCAATACAAGATTTTTAGAACTATAAAATAAAGTTTACACAAGTAAAACATTTATATATAATTATTAAGGTGTTCAACCCTCGTAAAAAGTTGGCAACTCATTGCCCAATATAACTTTTCTTTCAATTCCTTTCTCTGTAATAACGCCAATTCGAATTACACCACCGCTGCTACCGTCACGAGACATCGCCAATGCCAATGCTAAAAAATTAAAGAGATCTATAAGTATCAAATTGTTAATCATATCTTACCGATCAAAGTCGGCTAAATACTTACTATTTTCTACTAATTTGACACACTCTTCCTGTGACATGTTTGGTTTATATTGTGAATCCATGTAACCATATACGTATGAGGAGCCAGAGCCTCCAATTGAAATTGGTTGCCGTACACACATACCACCTAGAGGAACGCTATAAACTTGACCTCCCTTACAGTTGTCCCATCCTGCTACCAAGATTCCAGCCATTAAAGAATCTCGATAATTATAACATAATTCACGAAATACATGTGCTGCTGTTTCTACTAACGGTTCCGTGCCTAAATCCATTCTAAAAATTATTATTGTTTCTTACAATGTAATAAATTCATAATAATTAGTGTAATTATGTATGGTTTGTATATGCAATCTAGTTACTTGTGGAGCGCTAAATGATATGCGACTATGTCTGAAATGGCTTGAGTATCTGCTGCAGAACCAGAACGACAACAATAAATATAATCTGTTATTTTGGTCAACTTGTCGGCAAACCGATTGGAAATGTAAGCTCTAAAAGAATGTTCAACAATTATACAAGCATTATTACATTACAAATGTCAGTTATGCTGTTTTAAAATACAATTTACACCTTACCCTGCTGTTGCTCTAGAATCTGCTCCAATCACGACTCCTCCATTGAATTCACAAGCCATGATTGATGTCTAATTAACCAAATAATTTACCATCAAAGGACAAATTTTCTTTTATAAATTATAAAATTATTATATGTAAAAGAAACGTCGAAATTCATGAAAATAAATGTGTGTTGCAAGCATATTAAAATTATTTTGATATTATTTCGATGAATTATTTTTTCAAACTTGTTTTTCTTGATAATGGAAGGTATTACAAAATAATTTTGTTTCACATGTTTTTAACTTGTTTTTATGAAAAATCACTCACTTCCCAGTTGTACTATGATTACTGAAATATCCTGTATGCACATAGTAGAGTTCAAATGGATTCAGAACTACTAATTAGTTTTGTAAGACAAAGACCCGCTACATGGGATAAATTATTAAACTTATACAAAGATAAAACTACGAAAAAATCAGTATGACAACAAATTTGTTCCATGCTGAAGGAAGATTTCAAGAAATTGAACGACGACAGTAATATGTCTTAATCATCTTTTTGAAATGTAAATAACAGAATGAAGAAATAAATCAAGAAAGTAAGTATATATAAGTTTTCGATAAAATGATCGAATCGCTCAAAACACCAAATCATGCAAACTGTTTAAGTTTGCATTGTCATTCTAACCTAGAAGCATGCCAGTATTAACGTTTTGTCAAAACTTACACCAGTACTTTGCTCCGAATGAAGCCAGTCTGGAACTAAATTGCCAGTAACTGCACCCACATTAGGTTGAATTAAATTATCCACCAAATAAGCCATTATTTTTAAGTATCAAAAAACTATTTCTTTACGCCGACTAATGCACACGACTGTTGAATATTGGAAGTGTACTTCACGACTACAGTGTGTCCATCTACAAAGATTGAAGGATAATGAGAAGTTTCCTTCTAAACGCAATTGATGAAAATAAATTATTTCATAAACATAATAAGATTACGAACATTATAATTACCTTTTAATATAGAAAAATAAATTTTATTTTGTCGTTACTTATTATTTAATAATAAATTCTTTTTTACAATTTAAATCATTTTTGCGTCACGGAATGAAATTTTGTCAAAGATTAGTCTCATTTGCAATTTGAAAAATAATAACAAAATTTAGAAGAATATTGTGCTGCGAACAAGACATGACCAAATGTTAAATTAGGCGTCATAAGGTCGTAACTATAGCGAACGGTGGAAGGTACGAATACCAGATGCAACATTGTGCTTCAGAATTTCGATCTTTTAAACAGCGACTACACTAGTCGAATATGTCGCATGTATTTCACTTGTATATTTAGACGATGGGAAATATATACATTGCTACTTCGAAATAAAGCGTTTGCTACATGGAATTTGTGTTTAGTTTAAAATTCTATTTAAAAGTGAATCTTAATACGAAACGTAACGCTTCGTAAATTATATGAAAAAATAAAGAACAGAAATCGTATTCTCTCGTCGATCGTGTATCTGTCGTGACCCTTGCAACTTTCTCAGGTACCTATGAATTTCCCAAAGAGTGCGGTACATTGAGTACAACGTTCTCATATAATACTTGACTCGTGTTACACTTGATTTATCAGCAGTGCATTTATAGTGCTTCGAGCTTTGGGTTAACAATGAGAATGTCATATACTACGCGAAAGACCTGCAGTAACAATCGGACAAAAAGTGTTGATTGTGATCGTGGGTAGCAGCCGGTAAAGAAATGGCAATTCCTAGTTGGAAGATTTGGGGTAGAAACCTTCGCATGAGCCATCGTACGTTGAACATTGACTGTCAGTTTCTTTATTTCAAAACTACGCTCGTTTTCTATTCATGTGTTCTTTTTATAGGCCATCAAAACAGTGAAGACAGCTGCGTGCAACTCGATCTGTCAAGAGGTTAGTAACCTAACCTGTAATCTGCAACTTTCTAGCCATAGCACTTTGATAACATGACCTTACATCGGTCTACAATTATATGTAGTCAGTCATGAAATGATTAGCACGAACAAAAATTTGATAGAAATATACGAAATGAGAGGATATTAAAATAGCTTTAAAGTTTTCTTATTAAGAAATAGATAATTTAAATCTTTAACTAATAAAACTGTAAAATAAAACAGTGAAATTATGTTTGAAAATTGCAGAAAAAAAAAACAAACTGTAATAATTCCATCTATATTTTTACTTTACAAAACTATTGGCACAGTTCGTATAATTTTATAATGTATTATAGTTAATAATTTATCAGATATACTTTTTTTTTTCTTTACAATTTCTGCAAATCTTATGACTATTATATTGTTTATTGAAATAATTGTCTTCAATATTTTTCTATTTCACCTTCAATCTGTTTTTGATATTATTACATTATTACCTTGTTATTTAATTGAGTTACACAGATTTGTAAAACTTTCAACATAGCAGCAAATGAATTATTTTTTTTATAGGAAATAAATAAATATTTTTTTATTGCATTTATAGTTAAAAATTTGATATAATATATTTACATTTTTAACAATTACCAAAAATTTATTTATTTGTTAGGACTGAATGAGAATGTAAAAGAAGTTTTAACTAACCTTTGCCAGCGACATAATGTCTCGAGCATAAAAAAATTAGCATATATTAATGCTATTGTTAAGTTAATTAGTGAAAATGATTCATCAGATTATGGGTATACCATCGATGATATATTTTGCTGGTAAGAAGTTAAGAATATTCATTACAAGTAATATACAATTATTATTAGGCATCATTATACTATTTGTCAATTTTCCAGCCTACGTGTGGGTCTTGTCCACGAAGCAACACAAGTTCGTGCTGCTGCATTGCGAGCAGTGCGATATATGCTCAAGAAAGAACAAGATGTTATTGCAATTAATAAATTGCAATATCCATATTTTGTTGCTCGTAGTATGGATATTAATTTACGAAATGAAACAGAGGGATTACAAGCTCTTAGACTCGTTAGAAGAATTTTAGTATTAGCTCCAAAACACTTTAGTCCTATTTTAGCAAGATCTTTAATAAGCTTGACAAATGGAGGAGTTGAAGAAAAGGATGGAGCATTTCGAGCATTCTTGGCAACTCTTTGTGAATTAGGTGTTTTAAATTCAAATTTGTTAATCAGTTGCGGTGGTCTTGGTGCCCTAGCAAGAGCTGCTATGACTGGACAAAGTCCTGCTATAATTGAATCTGTTGTAGGAGTTTTATTAAAATTATTAAATACTCCTGAAACCAGGAGCAGCGTTTCTCTTTTATGTTTCGCGGCTCCGTATTGCGAGCTACATTCTTCGAGTATAGATGGAACAAAAGACGAACGAGAAAGATTTGTAGCTAGTAAGTTGGCATTATTGAGCATACTAAGATCTTATCCCGGCGTTTTACATTTTTGTCGACCTGATGATAATTCAGGACTGAAAGCTATAGCAGATATATTGTATGTTGAACAACTTGAAGTACGACGTGCTGTCTTAGAACTTCTTTATGAATTGTTGAATCTACCTTTACCTACTTGGACAGATGAACCAGATGTTGCTCTTGCAGCAGTAGATCCTAGTAGGATACGTTATTCCTGGAAATTGTCAGAAGGTTTTGTTGCAGCTGAAGGAAAATGTATTTTACCATCTTTATCGTCACGTTGTCCGAATATTACAGAAATACATTTAGCATTGTTAGTTTATACTTTATTGGAATGTGGTCTGCACTGTGCTCTTGCGGAAACTATTATTTCTAGCGATACCTTTATTTCTGTACGTGCAGCTGTTCTTTTAGGTGCATTATTGCATCTTGCACATTCTCTACTACCCCCCGAAGCGTGTGATCTGACACCACCTTTACCGAATTTATTGGAACAGGCAAGTGCTGGAAAGCACCAGGCCTTAGCTGCTGTAACAATTTTGGAGCGAATGCATACTATGATGCGTCGAAGACCAGCACCTGCAAGTCTATTCTTAGATAAAATTTTACAAGCAGGCACTTGGTTAAGGCCAACCATACCAAGGCGTCAACGAACATCAAGCAGACATTGGTTGCGTAGAGAATCACCGACTACACCTCTCTTAAAAGATGCTCAAGTACTCAGTTCTAAGGATGCTCTTGCATGGAATTGGCCAGTAATAAGATCTATATTACGATCACGAGACGACACAATGCGAATACTCCATGATTCCGATCACAGGTTGTTCATGAAAAGGCTTGTACGTTACTTTAAACCTTGTTCAAATGGATATAGTAGAATAGAGTTAGCAACAAATGCTAATTTAGCACGAGAAGCAACGTTAGCTGGTTGTGATTTATTAAACTGTTTATTGGAACTTCATGAACCTGAGGGTACAAAACTATTAAACGAATTAATTGGAGATATTGCTGAGCAAATTGCTAGTCTTCAGATGGCCCAGTCTGCTCACGAGTGTTTATTTTCACCTCGTCATATGTCTACCACTTGTTGTCAAAAGTATTTTCTATTTCTTGGACATTTGAGCCATTCAGCAAAAGGAACTGTAATTCTGAATGGATTTAATTTATTAGAAAAATTACAAGACTTAGCTTTAACTACTAATCATGACTGTTACGTTAAACTGATAGTTTCAAGTTTAGATTATTCTAGGGATGGATATAATAGAAAAATAATGACTAAGATTATTACAGAAGCAACATCAGATAGTACACGTCTATATGCTACACAGTTCCTTCGATTGATACTCAGAGCCAGAATGGCTGATGCCTATCGTTGGTCGATAATATTACTGTCCGCTCGATTATCAGATTCCAATAAAACTGTAGCATTAACTGCTTTAGAGATATTGCACGAAGCCTGCGAAGAACCAGAGTATTTAGAGGCTTTGTTGCAACAAGGAGGCCAATCTCGAGATTGGGATAAATGGCTGGAAGATTTAGGTGACAAGGGGTACTTGTTAAAAATTCGACTGTACTCACTTCTTCAAGGTTTCACAACAGTTTTATCTCCTACGGAAGAATTAGAAAAATGGATCTGTCCAGGTGGTTTCGCAGAGCGATACGTCGGTTTAATAGAAGGTGATATACACGATTCTTTAACGCGTCGTCAAAGAGATGAAACTGGAAGTTATCATAGAAGAACAACTAATATTCCTATGACACCTCGCGATATTTTTATTCTCCCGCACTTGATAGGCCAATTGGCGCAACACGACCTAGGTATGCAGTTATTGCTACGTCGAAACGTAATACAACGCTTTACTCGAGTCGTTCAACGATTTAGAATGGAAATGGGTGGTACAGATTCGGAATCAAACTCACGATGTACTAAAACCAATTGTTCTGTAATCGACGATGTTTATGTTATGTCAGAGGAGTCTGGTACAGATGAGACGGTAGAATCAAATAGGTTGGAGACAATAATGGATTCCGAATCTGTAGAAGCAATAGATGTATGTAGTTCGCAAAAAGTTGATTCCTTAGTCGATATACGTCGAAAAACAAGCTTAGATGATTCAAGACGCACCACTGCAGAAAGGAGTTGGAGATCGGATTTTAAAGCTCGAGACGAGCAAGGTACTAATTTAAGTAAAAAGATTTTAAGAGTAAAGTCTGCGCTGTGGGCGCTCGGTCATGCTGGAACATCGGCTAGTGGTGTTGAACAATTAAATCATTTAGGCACTATAGAACTGATAGCGTCTATAGCAGAGACATGTCAATATTATGCGGTACGAGCGACAGCTATGTATACTCTCAGTCTCATCGGTACCACTCGTGCAGGTGCTGACGCACTATTGACTTTTGACTGGCCGTGTGTTAGACACAGACGCGGAGATCACTGGCCAGTCGTTCCTCCTACTAGTACGTATCCAGCGCCCAGTCCAATTCCTATACAACGACATCATCGAAGTCTCAGCGACGGGAAACCAGAGTTACCCGAACCAGTAGCTCGGAGAACCAGAAACAGATCTGAAAGCGCAGCTACAGATCTCGAAGCCAGGCGCTATGCTCTACCGTAAGACACTTTCCATTTAATTTAAATTGTATTTGTATCATATTTATATCCTATACTTGGTTTTACAGAGAAAGAGGAGAAACACCAAGTCCTGTTTCGAGCATTCAAAGATTAAGTCAACAAGATGCTGAAGGATATGCAAAACTTCGTAGCTTCCAACGTCATCGTAGGCCAAGTTATTCCCAAAGTAGCTTAGAGGTAATCATATCTCAAAACTAAACTTTCATTTCACGGGGCATTTGATTAAAAATAGTACCGTCTGATTTCAGATGTATAGTTTAGATGGCCGACTTTCGTTGCAAAGTTTATTAGAATTCGATTCATCTCGCAGCTGGATTGCGGAACATGTACTCACCTCAACACCTCCACCTCCTGAAGATAGTAATGATAATTTATTTTACATGGGTATTGCCCTGCCAAAGAGACTTATAATTATTTTTCCGGATTTGCCACAACCGTCGCTCCGAAATATAGTGGACGATGTACCTAAATCCAATATAAAATCGACCGAAGTAGATGAAGAGTCTTGCTCGGAATATGATGTAGACACAGACCATTGTCGTATATGTTTAATATGTTATCACGGAAAAACTAGTAACAAAGATTCGATTACAGACCAAGACGCGAAATTACAAAGGTAAAATTTATTAAATACAATAATGCATGGTTAACTTTTCACGACCCCCTCCCTCCCAAAAAAATTCTTCCATTTGACGTTTTAACCTCAACAAAACCTGACCCAGCAAAAAAGGAAAGAGAAATTGGTCGGTTACTGGTCCTACCAATTCTTGATGTGCCGCGTTGTGCATCTCTATCTCACTCACATTCTGAAAAAAGAGATGGGATTTTCTGAAAGATCTACCTCTCTTCAACTTTGGTTAATTTTGGCCTTAAATGCCGACCAATGTTTACGGCATCACTATTCATCTCGCTTCCTACTATTATAATCATTTTCTACGAAAAAATACGCTACTCCGTACATGTAATTTTCATTGTTGAGTTTCAAATGTTAAGTCAGTTAACCATGCATTACTGTATAAACAGAATTAAATAATATTAATTTTAATAATATATTGCTTTATTTGTATAGAATAATACTTATACACGCTCAGCGGTTGGCAAACCCTGTATGGTATAAGCATAGTCGACAAACTTTACTTAGATTACGACAACTTCATTCAGAAAAGTTCCAGGTATAACAAGAAATTTAATTTTAAAGATATAAACAAAGTATAATTAAAATGTCTTGTTAATACATAATCGTGTTTTACGTTATAGGATATTTGTTTGTTTTCGGATATAGCAGCTCGTTTAGGTAGCGGTACATATAGAATGCCGGCACGCCGATTTTTGCAAGAATTATTCCTAGACTCTAAATTCAATGCAGTAAGTCTATATGTATTTTCTGAAGAAAGTAGAATAACACGATTTAAATTTTAGTTTTAATTCAAACATTCTGATGCAGCTTTATGTAGAACCGGCTAATATTCTAAAATTAAATGATGGTAATGACGAGAAACCATTGCAATCTCCCATTCCCACGGCACCTGAACCCAATTCCCGCGTGCCTTCAGAAAATAAGATCAATGGAAGACTTACTTTTTCTGAGATTCAAGTAACTCAACTGGACGCCGTTGTCGAGGTGGCAGATGGCGATACCTGTGCAACGCAAAAATCCATTAAAACTCAAGAGATTCTGCATAAACCAGAACGTCAGAGCGATGAGAAAATAATAGCCGAAATTTTAAAACCGGAAGAAAGGATACGCGTGTCAAAGAGTTCCGATAAATTGTTAAAGGTATCAGGTACAAACAGTGCCATCAGCCTCGATTAGTAATCTCCATTTCTCAAGCAATTGTAAATATTTTGTATTAAAATAATAATGAAGTATGAAATAAATTACACTGCCAAAATTGAATGATAAACCAATTAAATTGATATGCTTATGAGATTTTGATGATCGAAGAAACCCCTTTTATTAATCGATTAAAAATTATCGTAAAAATAAGTTGTTGGATAATATAGACGTTTTTTTTTATACCTCGTCTGTGATGTAACATACAATAAACATGAGTTTGTGTAATAAAAAAAAAGATATAAAATGTTTTGCGACACTCGATTTTGCATTTCTAAATTTTCTTTGTGTTCTCCAAACTTCATTGCGGAAAAATAATGTAACTGTGTTCGACAAATAAAATTTGTTTTCAAGTTTTCACCTTCTATGCATATTAAATGTGACTGATTAAAACTTATATTTTTATTCGGATAGCATAGTTGCGGATTGCAGCCGCCATATTTCTTATTTACTTGTTCGAGTCACGTAACAGTTGTATTTAGTAGTGTTTTACAAGTCGTCGTGGAAAGGTACACAATGCTTTTTCAATGTGTTGAAATTTTATTATCATAATTCTTGTACAATTCGAACAACATTTCGTACACGAATGTTTAAACGAACATACAGTTTCACTTGCGTGTACATCGAGTTGCCTGTTATCAGGAGCGCTTCAAAGGAAAGGAAAAACGAAGAAAAAAAATAGATAATTACAGTTTATTGACATCCAATGAACATTTTGTTTTCCTCAGTAGGAGATAGATAAGTTAATCCTACGTCAATTTCTTGAGTAGTTAATTAGATGAATTAACATTTCAATTGAGTAACCAGGCAAATCTTGAACGAACGATTTCATAACAGATGGATCGGTCGCGTGATACCTATTGCCTATGCTGCTCGTTTCCCAAATGCAAATACAACGAATTTTTTTCTTTGGAATTACATAAAAACATTGTTTATTCAACATCCATTTCCGATGTAGAAATATTTCGTTAACATTTACGAAAAAATTGCCAAAGAATTCTATATAATATCTGAAATATTTAAACGATTGAGAAACTTTAAGACACGTGCAGGCTTATATTCGGATTAAACGTGGCCATTTCTGTGAAGCGATCACTGCACATTATCAGAGCAAAAAAATGGCTGTGTCTTGGGAACAAGATTAAATAGAACACATGTTTATACGAACTTTTTTCATTTACATGTGAAATACCTTGTATGTATAGGATGAAAGTTAGAAAAAATTAATGGTAAAAGGTAGGTAAATTCGCAATACTTCCAGTTAAAATTTTTTTCTTCTTCGTAGGAAACAGACAAAACTACATTATTCCCAAGACTAATTGTAGTGCGTCTGCGTAAAAACTGGTTTTAAAGTGATGTCTGATGTAATCGTTGAAAAAAGAAGACATTAAGTATTGCTTAATAAGCAACCCATCCGTCGTCAAGGTGTACGAGAGTTAGTTTATTCGTGTGACTATCTTCCTCATTTAAAAGACTTACAAGAAAGGCAATCTGTCAAACATGCAGACAAACCAGCTGTAATAAATATCTGCGTGTTTGCAGACTTGTTCTTCCTGTTTTTCCGATCTCTTTCCCGCCTTTATATTATTCAGCCGCACACACAGCATCGACATATTTTTAACAATGAACATAGAAATATTGATGCAATGTTCCAAAATTAGTGTAAACGATGGACATATAAATGTTATCGCAATATTTTAAAACTATTTCTTGAAGTAGTTCAATATTGCAAATCTTTGTAATTAATAAGCAATGTCGGACATGTGTTTGCTTATTTTTACTCTAGAATCACCAGAAAAAGTTTGTATAAAATCGGTGATACCGCAGGTGCAGTCTAGGTTTTTTTTGTTAGATTGTTCTACTATTAGTGGATCAGTTAAAAATTTTGTTATCTAATATGACATAGTTCAAACAGAGTTTTAAAATGCTTACGGTACTCTTTTGTCTACTCTTCTTTTTTTTTAGGAATGTTAAGACCATCGATGTTTTTTGTGTGAGATTATGCAAAGTGTTCGGCTACCCATGGGAAAAATTTTAATGGGAGATTGTAGTGACCAAAATAAGGCGAAAATCAAGAATACCAATTTGTTGATCGAGGCTTCGTTGAAAAGTTATTAACGTTTAAAGTTCCGTCTGTAGAACGGCAATCTACGAACAGCTGCGTGCTTTAAACTTCAAACGTTAATAACTTTTTAACGAAGCCTCAATCAACAAAATGGTATTCTTGATTTTCGTCTTATTTTATCCTCTAGAGTCTCTCATTAAAATTTTTCCCAGGGGTGGCCGAACGTTCTGTATATTTTTGTCACTACGGTGTTGTGATTCCGCAACTTACAAAATTCTTAATGAATAAGCTAGTAAAGAAATTAAGCGACATTTTTATTTATCGAGTTTAAAACCTACAACATCCATTATAGTTAATACATTTCACTTTTTATATTAAGTCGGCAATAATGAGGAACATAACAACAAGTGAAGAACACTTATCAAAGTTAATTTGGGACACTTTTTATATCAAAATGACAATAACGAGAAACATAATAACAAATGAAAAACTTATTTAAACAAATTTTGTATTCAGTTATGAGTGACTGATAAAAACTTCCCTCATCAATAACTATTATGAGCAACTGAAAATTAGATCATAAGTAAGGAACCGTAAATTTAATTTCTATATGGTGTATGTAAGTTTCATGTAACATATGTCGGGATTTAAATATGTAAAGCTATTTGTATACATATGATATTGTTTAAAAATAAGAAAATCAAAGCTGAGATAAGTTTCTCTTTAAACATTTCTAGTTCTTGCTTGAATTACGCTTTAATTGATCATTCGTGTAACTACCACGGAAGAGTTTTCTATTTGGCCAACTTCCGCTTACATAGACGATGTCTTTCCGCGGTCGGTGGCAGTGTTACCAATTACCAAATCGCGGAGTGTCGGATTTTAGTTGTTGCAAGATCGAGAAGGAAAGACTCACACTCGCCTTCTTTCTCGATTTGTCGAAGTAGGGCGAAGTGCTGAACTCGCCTACACTGTGTCTGCATTCTCCACCACTTCTACCAGTACGTTAGGCGCTAAAGGAAGTTCGTCGTTACTACTGTCACTGACAGTGCACTCAATTATGTCAAATCTGGTCACACTGTGCCACATTAACCGTCACGTCGCTGCACGGGGCTTCTTACTATCCTTGTGCGCCAGCAAAAACCACATCTCGAGCTCCGTGGCGTTCTATTCAAATCTGTTTGCCAATTTTGCACACACACACACACATCTCTTTCCCTTTTGTGTAAAAAAAAACTTGATTACTTAACGAGAACTGGACGGGAATTACGAATGAATAGAAACGTTTCGCGTTCTCGTAACCTGCGTACGTTTGTTTCGACGTTTTTACTTTCGCTCGTATCTTTTGATCCTCACTTATGTATATCGGGATGCACAATCTATCTATCTGATGCATAATCTAAGGAAGGGGTATTTTATCCGTATTCACCAATTGATCGACGTGCTATTTCCTGTGCCTTCCGTCGTCCAAACAAATAATGTAGTATAGTTGATCCATCGTGCGTTCAACGGTACCGTGTAACCATTTTCTTTTTGACATAACAGTTTCGCGTAACACTCTATCTCCGCTTTGAAATTTTTACGCCGGACTTCTTCAGTCGCGGTCGGTAATAACAAGTCCAAAGTTCTTAATTCACGGTTTAGCATCCTTTCCGTTGACGTTGTGTTCGGGATCTGATGTATGTACAATCGTTCGATGTCGTAACAAGAATTCCTGTAATATTTTAAGCGTTGCATCTTTGAAAATTTTCTTAAACATTTGTTTCAAAGTTTGCACAAACCTTTCCATTTGACCGTTCGTCGCTGGGTAATAAGGTGGCTCTACAATATTTTTGTTCAACGTACATTTTAACGCGTAGCGATTCTTTCTGTATGTGAAACAAGATACATTATTATTCTGAACATTCAATTGGGATGGACCGTGTGCTTGCTTCTTCTTTCTTTGCTTTCATACTGAAAACGAAATTACCTATGTTCTTCGTAGTGACATCACGTGCTCGCGTATCGTTGGGCCTACCTGTAGTTACGACACGTCCTCTGCCATCAATTCCATGGCCATTGCAATTTTCACTGTTCTTTCAGAGATTAGGTCCTTCATTTCCAACAAACGTGATTAGATTCGTCGACTTGTGAGTCAACGTTAATTTCTCAACTTGCAATTTATACTTCACTTCTGCAAGGCTGTTTTGAATTGTTGCACCATTTTTCATTCTTTCTGCTTACGAAAATTTTCTACAATTTCCAGTATTGTCGGAGCGTAAAATTCTCCCAACTAATACGTATGGATCCTTCGGCGCGAATGTGTCACAAATTATCTCAAATGTAACAAGTATCCGATGAACTGCGTTTCTGGAACTTAGAAAATTGTTTTTCAGTTGTAAGTGTGCCATTAACTGACGTTTCCGTTTTGACACGAGTGTCTATTCACTGGTGGCCTATAGGCTATTAATCCTAATTAATACTAATTAGACCATTTTTTCCTCGTCGCCAAACTGTTGCAACGTAATATCCGCAGTTATTAACATCCAAATGCAAAGGTGTCAAAAGACACTGTTCGGTTGAAATAGATATGCAAAAAAGGATGGTAGAGATAATATTAATTTCTCGTTGTGTTAATGATTGACTCATTATAATGTATATTAATTGTAAATTTTTTAATATAACTATGAACTATGCTACGATAAAACCGTTAAAATATTCGTTCGACAATACTATGTGAATATTGATAACTTCTCAGCGATGGCTCACCAGAAATGGCAGTGTCAGTAAAACTAATTCTCGTGTTACCCATTAAAATCTAATAATTAAATCGCAGCGATATTTCTTGCTAACGAAAATGCAGAATTTATATTATGGCAGAGGAATGTGCAAGGCAGTCTACATTTTGTAGAAAATAATTTGCTTGAAATAGCACGAAAAAAACTGTAAGGTTAAACGCGTTCTACATTTGCGAGAGAATAATTTTATGGTAGATTGAGAAATACTTGTCCTGCCAACGTTTCTCAATTTTCAAAATTCTATGGACTTCTCAAATTATAGTAACGATTTTTTAATATAATTTTTTACTCTTGTAACCACATATTAGCGGTTCGCTAGAAAATAGTATACAAATTCTATAGAATATTTTCTACTCATCCTAAATATTTTGGTAATTATATTATGTAATATGCAATTTTTAATGAATAATTGAAGAATTTTTCTTAATTTTGCTAATGTCTTTTTCTGTTGCATACTTATTTATGTCCTCATTTACCGTATAACGGTTCGTCGTAACATCGAAACATGAATAAATTTTCTTATTTTTATTACTTTTCTTTGAGAAACACTGTTGACTGTACCTACTTTCTTGCTATTATTCTTTCATCGCTAATGTATACATTCTACTCAGCCAAGCTTCGTTTAAAGATGAATTAACATTCATGTCAATTGGACGTAACACAATCAAATATTATGCAACTTTTTTTGCCAAGCATACATGGACATGTTCGTTAACTCAGCGAGGATATGTATAGAGCAAAGGTCAACCTGTACTAAACACGAACATTATCTGAAAGCTAGACAATTATTACATAAAAAAATTATTAATAAAAAGTTTACTATAATACTAACACTATTGGTTAAGTTAATCATTGCTTTTTGTTATATTTAACATATAATATCAATGTACAAAAACAAAAAATTAAATCATTTTAAAAATAAAGAAACAATACATACCATATCATGTATGTCCTCATTACATGAATTTCTTATGCTTTGGCGCTCTGTAAATTCCTTTTGCAACCAGTTACGTGAACATATTTGAACGTATACTTAAATAAATTCTACAAACAAAATATGCATAATATACTTTGCACCTTTTCTATGACTAAAAAATTACTGAATATTGAAAATTTAATTCGGTTGTTAGTAAGTACTTTTTTATACGATAAATGATCGCATTATTCGATCATTGAAAATTTCGTCAAATCATGATTTATAAATAAAAATCGGTTAACTTGCTGAGTGTATGATTTTAAGTGACAGTCACTCTACATATAATAACGGTAAATTTTAATATGGTGTACGAGGATTTTTTGTACTGACTGTATACATATGTTTCTATTATGTTATACAACATTTTTGTAATTTAGTTCACTTTACTTTTCATATATTTGACGTATACTTATACTATTATTCTCTCTTATATCATTCACATAACTTTTACATAACTTCGTTGTTATAGGCACAGAATATTTTTTATTCCGTTAATATTGTATACATTTGATTCTTTGTATTAAATGAATACGGTTGTTGAAAAACATAGCGGGAAACGTCTATTTCTGTAGTAATTAATTCTTCTACTTAGATCATATCTTTAAAAAATATTGATTAATCCAATATTATTTTGTTGAAAATAAAAGACCGGACTATTATTGCAAATGATTATTCCTTATTTTAATTTTAATAAATTAAAATGAGAATCCACACTGCAGCATTATTCAATAGCCAATGTTTTTATTTTTATAATATTATAACCAGGGATATTAAGATCTGATGTTTTTGCAATTTCAAAGGCGAGAAAAGGATGAAAAATTAATACTTCAAATTCCAAGTGTTGTCGATGTTTTAAAACTTGAGATATTCATTTTTTTTTTAACAATAGTAGTCGGTAGTCATATTGCTAAAGACAGAATGCAAACATTGCAGAGGCAGTAACACACTGTATGTGTATGTATAGCGCTCGATCGGCTTGGCGCGGCAAGTCAACGAATCTTTAAAAAGCGCTCAGGTCTACTTTCGAGACATGTAAGCGACGTTGTCGTTTATCAACAATTCAAACGAGTTGCGACGCAAGAGCGAGAAAGACTCACATTTGCCTTCGTCCTCCACTCCTCAACAAAAATCGAAAAAGAAGGCGAGTGTCAGCCTGCCCTTTTTAATTCTCCGAAACTCTACGAGCTCACATAAGTACTGTCCTCCGCTCACTTGAAGTCCCGCGAGACGGCACAGGGGCAAGGGGAGACGGACCGCCCATTTATCTGTCTTGCTCACTTGCTCTCAGGCAGTCCACATGTGTGTGTAACTGCCGCGACGAATAGCGAGCTAGAGACCAATGTGTGCGTGGGAATACGTGTGCCCCTTCTACTTCTCCCGCATTCCTTCTGCGGAACTTCAAGTGAGCGGAGGACAGTACCTGTGCTCCGCTGACTTGAAGTCCTGCGGGACGACACAGGGGCAAGAGGAGCCGACCCGTCAATTTATCTATCTCGCTCCCTTGCTCTCAGGCAGTCCACATGTGTGTGTAACTGCCGCGACGAATAGCGAACTAGAGTTCTATGTGTACATAGAAATACGTGTATCCCTTCTACTTTTCTCGCATTCCTGCCACGGGACGTCAAGTCAGTGGAGTACAGTACTTACACACACGTTACCGGCATAGTGTAAAAGTGGAATGAGGAGTTCCCGCCCGGTGCCCCTCCGGTATCCGTTCTGGTAACACTATCTAGTAATACTGGCAGTTGCTGTCTCTCAGTTTGTGACGAACAGCGTAGCAAACGTGGTATGCTACTCTGCATTATTACTCCTGTGCTCTACAGTACGGTATTTGCGTTAGTAAAAAACGCGTATTTTCACTAATAGATCTCTTAAAGTTTCGAACTGAAAATCAAAGTCGGATTTTTGAAAAACCAATTACGATGGTATCGGATATAACGAGTTTCTTTAACGGTAAAAATGTGCTTGTTACTGGCGGTACTGGTTTCCTAGGAGTTTCTTTGATCGAGAAACTATTACATTCAGTACCTGACCTGGGAAATATCTACATATTGGTTCGACCGAAGAAAGGAAAGTCAGCAGAAGAGAGATTGAAGGACCTTCAACAAAATTCGGTACGAACTGATACCAAACATAGTTATTCTTACTATGAACTTAATAAATTAGGAACCTTACGATAACTTTTCCATTGATCTTGGACTCACGTTTCTTTTATTTACATAATTTAAGAATGCGGTCGTCAATTAGTTAACGTTAGTAAATACGATCTCACCCTCTTTAAACCAATGTTTCTGTATCTTATCACATACACGAGTATTTTTTCGTATTGTTAAATTCTGATTAAGGTTGTATTTTTGATAGTAATAAGAACGAGTAATAGTAATAATTATTATTTTATTGTTCTGCTCGTTTTCAATTATTTTGTAAGGATTAAAACGCTTTGTATGTCTCTTCGTCACGAGCGAAATTTAACTACTAACTAGACATTTTCACTATTTCCGTTAGGAATGTTGCTCGCGTTTAAACAATTTTATTTTTACTTTTACATTTTTCCGTTTTCAAGAGTTATTGGAGTTCTATAAATTATTTTATTATTTTAGGTGTTCGACAGATTGAAGGAAGAAAATAAGACACATCTTTTCAAAAAATTAATTCCTGTTGCGGGTGATATAGGAGAAGAAAATTTAGGGCTATCGTCTGCAGATAGATTGCTATTGATTGAAAATGTTCAAGTTGTTTTTCATACTGCTGCAACTTTAGATTTCGATGCAGATTTAAAAACCACCACAAATATAAACTTATTGGGAACACTCAGAGTTGTGGAACTTTGTCAAGAAATAGATCCTAAGGTAAACTACTTTCTATATTGCAAATAAGTTTTTCAGGTGCTTTTGTTAAATCACAGTTACGTGAATTAAAATTGTTTAAAGTTGTTTCCAGTAATCTAATTTTTTTAAATTTTTTTAGGCATTTGTACACGTTTCTAGTGCATACGTTAATTCAGTATTATTAGAAGTAGAAGAACGTGTGTATCCTGCACCATTCGATGTAAATGAATTACTCAAATTAGTGGAGAAATTAGATGATAAAGCATTAATAGCAGAAACACCAAATATATTGAAGGATCATCCAAATTCTTACACATTTACAAAACATTTGGCTGAACATGAAGTTAAAAATGGATATATTCCTTCTGCCATTGTGCGTCCTTCGATGAGTATGTGCATTAAAAATGAAAATAATTTTATTGAAGTTATTTTTCTATCAGTTAATGAAACTTGAAAGAATTAAATTATAAATCTATGCTCAAGTATTATGTTTTACATTTACAGTAACAGGAGCATGGAAGGAACCAGTCCCTGGATGGACAATATCAAAGAATGGTCCACAAGGATTTTTAATGGGTGCTGGCAAAGGTGTTGTACGAAGATTGCCAATAGCAAAGCATCTAATCTATGATTACATTCCAGTGGATATTGTTGTAAATTGTCTTATTGCTGCAGCCTATGCAGTAAGCCAAGTTGGGTATGTCAGAATTTTGAAACATGAAAATTTAATTTTATAAATAACCTAATAAAACAATTTGCACTGTTTATATTACTTTATATTAAAATTGTTACGTATATAAAAAAAAAGTAATAAATATTACTGTTGCAGCGGACGAGAATTAAAAGTATATCATTGTACATCCAGTACAACCAACCCTTTCAGATGGGTATTCGTGGAATCGAAAATAAACAGCTTTTTGCATAAATATCCATTACTTAGTGCAGTGTGGTATCCACACCTTAAATTTGTATCGTCGATCTTTTTATACAAGCTATCTGCAATTTTCGTACATTTAATTCCTGCATATATTTTGGACACAGTTACTAGGCTATCAGGAGGACGTCCTATGTAAGTTTGTAAATTGTGACTAAACTAATTTCAGCTTTATCAAATAACAATTTTTGCACTTCGTTTATAAAAATAAATTAACAGGGAATTCATAATTCCAGATTAGTACGATTACACAACAATATTAACAGATCATTAGGTCGCCTAAAAATATTTATCTTTACTGAATGGAAATTTCATAATCCCAATATGATTCAATTGCACAAGTCTCTATCAGAAGAGGATAAAGAACTTTACAATCTAGATATAACGTCACTAGCATGGGATGATTATTTTCTAGCCCTGGTACGAGGAGTTAGGACATATCTGCATAAAGAATCTCCAAAAACATTGGAAAAAGCACGTTCCAAAGATAAAGTGTAAGTACTATTATAACAACAAATTATGTATAAATATAGTTTTAGGAGATAGAGTTGCTTATTATGGATCGAGACTGTATTTTCATTATTTATTTTTTCAATTTTCAGATTGATGGTTGCAAATTTGGGCTTACAATTGTCGCTGTTAGGATTCATTTGGTGGTTAGTTAAAACTGTATTTTCCAGTACATGGACCAATACGGGTTTGATTATTCCAATTATGTGTCTCATTTTTGATCAATTATAAGTATTCTACATCGAAATCTTACATGGAAAGTACTGGCAAAGAAGACATCATTTGTTAATACAAACTTGCGTCAAAACGCGTTGCATTATTATTAATCGTTTTAGTAATGTTTTGTTAAAATTGCAATGAAATTTATACATTTCCATATAGTTCCATTATACTCTTAACGGTGTTGGAATATAAAATGATATAAGTATTATTATAAAATACCTACTTTTTTATATATTTTGATATATTAGCATTGTTATATTAAAAGAGTTAATAATGGTTACTCTCTTTATTTCCACAACGTTATCGATTTCCTCACTCAGCTGTCTCCCCCCTTTCATATCATTTCTTTACATATATCGATTGCAGTAGCATTTTTAAACATATACATGTTGACAGACATTACCTTGCATACGTATAAACATATTATGGCGTTATCGTGATACATGTTATTTATTATTATTTTATTACTTATAATATCTTCTATTTTTATTATATGTATATGTATACACATATAAATACATATATGTACGGTATATGCACCATTCGCTATTATCCGTACTTTCAACTATTCGCGGAGAAGTTTGGAACCGATCTTCTGCATAGATAGGGGTTCTACTGTATACATATAATATCATCGTTAAATTTTTTTATGCTAAAAACTGGTAACAGACTTTAATAAACATAAGTTAATAAATAAAAACAGAATTTTGTAGGATGGACTTTAAAATAAAACAAGTGAGTAAGACAGATTTACAGAATTATTGTGTTTTTTTTTAAATGGGACGTATAAAAATTAGAGGCATTCTTACTAAATCGATTGTATATTTGGTAATTATAACTATCGTATGTACCAAAATTGCTAATAAATCTCATGTCGTTGAAAAAATTTTTGTTTGTTCCTCGGAGTAATTGTTTAATTTATTGTATGAATTGGTCAATTTGAATATTATTTTTTTCAGTTTTATTACATTTCTTGTTTCTGCTTAATCCTTCGAATGGTTGGAAAAGATTGGGAACCCCTGCCTCAAAATATAGAAACAGTTATTCAGAGTAGGGCAAAGAACTGCAGAACGTAGGAATGCGAGAGAAGGTAGAGTGGGGATAATGTACATTAGGATTAGGTTAGAGTAGACGTAACGGAAAGGAGAAAATATACAGTAAAGAAGAAATATAGTATATGCTATATAAATAAATACAACGTTGTATAAAAAATGTAAATTGTAAACGAAATACAAACAATTAAGTTGCTATTATTTATAACAACAGCTATCGTAAAAGATTTTCTGTGAAAAAATTGCTTAAATACGTGATGTACGACCTTGGTTCTCGATCGAAATTCAAACAAACAGTCTCCTCGAATTTGACCATATTTTCATTCCTATTGTTCGCAACAATTATTAACTAACATCAGGCAATAGTTAAAATAATGCTCGATAGCATGTGTTGTACAAATAATTTTTTTTAATACCATTTTACGGCAAGATATTCATTTTTTGGTCGAAGAAATAAATACGTGATATACGACTTTGGTTCTCGATAGAAATTCATATAAACCTTCAGTCTCCTCGAATTTGACCATATTTTCATTCCTATTGTTTGTAACAATTATTATTTAACATCAGGTAATAGTTAAAATAATGCTGGATAGCAGGTGTTGCACACACTACAGCTGTCTGCCCGTAAATACTAATTCAGTGAACAGTTTCTCAACTGACCACCATCCATGAGAAGAGGATGCTAAAATCACAGACGAGGTACTGTCCTCCGCTCACTTGAAGTCCCGCGAGACGGCACAGGGGCAAGGGGAGTCGGACCGCCCATTTATCTGTCTTGCTCACTTGCTCTCAGGCAGTCCACATGTGTGTGTAACTGCCGCGACGAATAGCGAGCTAGAGACCAATGTGTGCGTGGGAATACGTGTGCCCCTTCTACTTCTCCTGCATTCCTTCCGCGGGACTTCAAGTGAGCGGAGGACAGTATACGAATAGACCTTTCAACTTATAGACTTTCGTGGCCAAATCTGACTGCCATACCAACCTGAAAATTCGGAGATGATTTTAGCGTTCTCTTCTCATGGATAGCGGTCAGTTGAGAAACTCACTGAATTAGTATTTATGGGCAGACAGTTGTGTTTGAGTAAATACATGTGAGTTGACTATGAAACGGATTAAAAAACGCAATTTTCAAACGACCATTACACCTGTAATTGTGAATATATTTCAATGAAACTTCTTTCTGACGTAGAGATCATGGGTACCTACAGAAAAGTATTAGACAACTTTTCTGAAGGGGGGCAAAGGTTTCTACGCGAGGCATCTCTATTCCTTTTCGAATAACAAGCTTCGTGAAACATCCGCTCTTCGCCTACCCCGCTGCCACATAACGATAGAGTACTCGGTAATTTAGATTATTTATAAATGCTTCACAATTAACGCCAAAGGTACAAACTTGTCTAGAAACAGTCCTATTCCTGTCAAAAGACCCAGCCAACCTCCCTCATTGACACTGCAACACATATTCCTAGTTTTGACGTTTTTTTGAGCAAATACACGGCTTCACATCGTGTGAAGCATAATACATATTAACTTGAGACTATATGTACGTCAATTTAATTAATAAACAGTGTCTAAAGCTTGTTACTATTATAATTGCTGCAGTAGTGTCCACATAAGTGACTGGATTTATGCCCATTTAATTGTCCGTTAACTTTACCCGGTATTCCGAGCGCGGACACTTAATTGGTCACTACTCTACCTAATTCACTGTATATCTATATATGTATATCAAGACGACATCTTCGCTCAAGTTTGTGTGGAATAGTTCGTTATTCTCAACGCTAGATGGCGCTTATTTTCGACATTGTGGGGTCGAGACTTATGGTCTCGTCCGCACAAGAGTATAGGGGAGCAGTTTCCCGTCAAGTGCGAATCCGCCGTAAGGCTGCGCGCGCAGCGCAGCAGGGCGAAAGCGCGTCCTTCCCAAAATGCAAGGACGCTCAAACCACTGCTTGGTAAGAACTTCGCGAAGAAGCACCTCAAAAAGATTAAGAGTAAAAACTCCTGTTGCTCGACCAAGACTTGTACGCCTAGCGTGAATAAAGAATACTTGTTATTGTTGTTGTTGTTACATACACGTGTTCAGTCATTTCGAATATTAATACCCGTGGTCGTAGGGGTGGGCCTACGAACGCACGCGCATCATACGTGGAAACGAACCACGTGCATCAAGTAAGGATAATCCCACAACATCAAACCCTCTGGTGCTAAAACGCCCAAGTTTATCGACCTTGTGGCGATAGGTGCGTTTTCTGTTGCGAGGTTGAGCTCTACTTTACCGATTAAAGGGTTGAAGTTAGGGTTGTTATAACACAGACGAGATATACCTCGTCTGTGGTAAGGTCTACTCATATACTTTATCACAGACGAGATATATGAATAGACGTTTCACCTTATGGACTTTCGCGGCCGAATCTGACTGCCATACCGACCTGAAAATTCGGAGCTGATTATAGCGGCCTCTTCTCATGGATGGCGGTTAGTTGAGAAACTAGGCACTGAATTAGTATTGATGGGCAGCCAGCTGAGTGTGTACGTAAATACATGTGAGTTGATTATGGGAGGGATTGGAAAAGACAGTGGAGTATTATCAGACGGCAGACCCGTGCCCAAAGGGAACTGCCCCACCACTCACACACACTAATGCCAACCACCTTGTATATGAGTTCTGGCGTTTCGTATAGCTTCGTAGATTCGAGAAAGGCGGCGAATGTCAGTCTATCCTTCTTGCTCTCAACACAGCTGAAATTCGATCTCGCATATTCTCGAGCCGAGATTCTCGACTGCCTAGGCATTTTTGACTTTCCGACCTGTGTAGGCATATACAATGTATAAGCAATATACCATAATGAAGAAAAAATTACAAAAATTTGTTTTTACGGAAATACACGTTTTAAAACGATAATATTTTATGAACATATTTTAACCCTTTGCACTCGGTTGTCCCCTCTGAGGGGACATGAAAGTTTATTAGTGATTAAGGAGAATGAACTGATTTCACCGCAATTTTTTAAGAAACACATGTTTTCCTGTACTTTCCTATTAAAATGGGAAATATTCTATTAAAATGAGAAATATATCAGCCGTTTTTACGTTGGAAGTGGAAGGATTGTCGAGGATGGTCAGAGGCGTATGGTCGGATTCAAACACGTGGACAATGAACGTAACTATATAAACTATATTATTTAATGTTTACTAAAATTATTTAACATAAAGAACATAAAACGTAAACGTAAAAAACTATAAACGTAAAATCGAAACTTCATTCAAAGTCGAACCATTCCTATTGCTATCTTCGTTATAATCTAAATAAATTAACGTTCTTTGTCGGACAATAGAATGAATAATAAGCTACATATTCCAAATGTAGGCCAAAGAAACCGGGACTGCATTATTTGTTCCGACAGGAAAACACCAGGAGAAAGACGTCAAACAACATTTTATTGTGAAACATGTATAAATCAACCTGCTATGTATATTGGGAATTGTTTCAGAATTTACCATACCATAGAAAATTATGAGAAATAAATTTTTATTTTGTATTGTAAATATGTGTTCTTCAATGTCCATAAATACATATAAACCAAATTTCAACACAATGCCTCACTTGGTTCCAAAGTTGTACCATATAATATCACGACTCAAGGGTTTTCGTTTTCGCGAGAAAGTAGCATCGAGTTGCTGATAGCTAACGTCCGAAAAGGTGCCGAGTGCAAAGGGTTAACTATTAAAAGACATTTTTTTATAACAGCTGTGCTTAAAAACTCGATTTGTGTAGCCGGCCGCCTAACGGCGGCCACGCATTCATTTTCTATTTCAATTTTCTTTATTGATATTATCAGAAGTGGGAAAGATTTCAGCCATTATTTCGACAAATTTAATTATTAGATCATTAGCATGATATTGTCGACGGAAGAAGAATTCACCTAAATAGCCTACATAATGTATTTGGCGAGTTCCATACTTCAGAATATTCGAACCTTTGACAACAATGCAGAACTAGATTTAGCTCGACACATTATACATTATTTGTCGTCGGTTGTCATGCCGACTAATACAAACAAGAGAAAAAAGCAACGATCGTGGACTGATGCAGTACAGAGCCACAGATATGTACATATAGACAGAATTCATTGTAGTAGTAGCGATCTTTTTGAAGAAAAATCTCGGAAACTAAGGCCGAGCTGCGGTTATATGTATAGGAAAAAGTTGCTCAAAATGTTGATTTCTACAACATATTCAAAAATAATCGAAATCGGTGAGACCCGGCCTTTTCTAAATAATTACCTCATTTTCTTTCAATAATTCTCCATTGCAAAAATTCTACAGTATTCTTACATTTTTTTATATTTTAAAATTTTCCCATGTTATTAGAAAGTAGATATACAACGAAAGTTATACAATTTATAGTTCCTAGCATGTATAACATGTATATGTATATAACGCATGGTCGCTTCGTATGGAAAGTCAATGAATCTCCAAAAAGCGCCCAGGTCCGATTTCGAGAAATGTAAGGTCTGTCAGTCACGATGGCTTTTGTCGTTTACTGACGATTCGAACGGTTGGCGATGCCAGGCTTGCTTTCGAGAAATGTAAACGACGTCAGCGATGCAAGAGCGAGAAGGAAAGCGAGTATCAGCCTGTTCTTCTCGGCTCTTCCGAAACTCAACGAGCTCACGTACACGCAATTGAGCATAGTGTGCGAAAGCGAGGAATGAGGAGTTTCCGGGGCCCCGATACACAGTCTGATTAAACTGATTTCGAGTTGCAAATACGTTTCTGCCGAGTTATTTTTTTAATAAATGATGTATTACAATTTAAAATAAAAAATAGAGAATTTGCGGTGAAATACATCCTTATGAATTTTAATAATCTTGAAATTTTTAAATACTCTTAATCGATTGATTTCTCCAATGAAATTAATCGATTAATGTCCAATGATGGACCCTACAGCTTTAATTCCGTTAAAAAATAATAAAATTTATGTAATTTTATTTTCTGTCTCACTTCCTCTTGTGTTAATTTCTAAATCTGTTGATAACGTAGCGAGTGACACGAAAATGGTAATGGGGTCCCGGGACCCCAGAAACTCCGGCCGAAAAATTACATTTCGTGAAACGTCTATTCATATA